GCGGGCTACTAGCTCATTCACCATACTTACTCCACAATGGACATACGAGAGCTTTTGATGCTCCTATATTTTTTGAGCTTCATTCTTTGGTAAAAGGAAGCTAGCTCACAGTTCGCTGTCTAACAACATACTTGTGTCGGTACGGGCAGCAAGATTAACAATATAAAAGATTGTCGGTTCGTTTAGTGGGAATTTTGCATTGAATATTTCACAGCGACAGATTTTACTACTTATCACGCCTACTGACGAGGAAATGATGTAATCGCGAAAATTTTCCAAAATGAGATATTGTATTTTGAATGTTATATGACATTTCCGTGACGAAAAACCATGTCACTCATTTCCGACCGCCCATAACTTGAAAAGCACCGGTGGGATTTCGATGAAATTCTCATACAATGTTACTACTATGCTAAGGACCCAAAAGCTTTGTAGTTTTTGGAAATCTGTCTACCACGGTGCCACATCCGCCCGAGTGAGGTACGTTCCGACTTTTTTTTTCAGAGAGTCGAGTTCTTGATGAATATATTCTTTTATGTACTAATACAGGCATTGCGTGGAAAGTGCAGAATCAACCTATTTTTTTTATCAGCGCCAGCTTGGCACGCACCACACCTTAACACACCATACGTTGCTCAGGACGACGAAGAATAATAAACAACTGAGATACATATTGGACCTAATAGTGATTTCAGCTTTTATATTAATGTTCTGTGAGTTTCATACTTGGAGAAAAAGCTGGAGATTGATTTGGGGGGGGGGGACAAGCTTTACTCTGTAATCGATGTAAATTCGTCTTGTCTCTTACTTGATGTAGCAAAGTCAGAACAATGCCAAGATTCTGGAAAGAAGCGCAACGTGCTGCGTCATAACAAAATGTAACAAGAAGTACTGATGAGATACATCCACATCTGAATAGATTAACATTTAATCATTCTACAATCGGCCGGAAAAACTAATAGGAATTACGTTTTATTGTTTGGTCAGTACAGTCAAGACTTTATTCTGGCTAAGCAATCTAGCGATATCAGGGAGCTTACTGCTTAGTTTAAGCGCACAGAGGAATGGGAGTACTTGAAGATTTAATTAACCTTGATGCATCATCTGGTTCATAATAATCTGATTTGATTTCTGCACGATCGTATTAAAAAATACCCCCTCATAACCAATCTGAATGTTGCCACAAAATTGCGTCAATTGTTAAATAATTTATTGAACGAATTCCAAAAGTCGCTGCCGGACGAAGTTTTCTGGGTCATTCTGAACAAAAAAGTGTTTATGAACCATTCTCTAAAATGATTTAGAGATATAAGCGGCTTAATATTTGAAAAGCGCAAAATATGCAATTTTCAACCCCGAGAACTATATGAAAAACAAAAATTTTAATATTGTCAAAGTTCCTAGATATTCTTCAAACATTGCATTGCAAACCTTTGCTTTTACTTCCTACGCCTCTGGGCGAGGAAGTATTGCAATCGCGATAATTTTGGAAAATGAGATAGTATGTTTTTTGGATGTTATATGACATTTAAATCATGAAAAACCATGTCACTCATTTCCGTGGGTCTGTCTGTCTGTCGGTCTGTCCGCTAATCTTAAAACTGCCTATAACTTGAAAAGTACCGCTCAGAATTCGATAAAATTTTCAGACAATATTACTACTATGCCAAGGCCGCAAAAGGTTTGTAGTTTTAGACGATCCTGTCCATTGTCGAAATTTTTTTGTAGGGGATAAAAATTGGGGGTTAAGGATTTCAGGGGGTGGGGTAGGGTATATCTCAATTTTTTGACGTTGGTATATTTATACGCCTCCGTAGGGGAGACCGGGGCTGGTTGTCACATGGGTTGGTTGTCATAATTGTTAAATCTCAGCAGCTCCGCAAGATATAGTTGCCTCGCGCGCTACTCATCGTTTCTGCGTCCGCGCAGAACACTTGTATTCAGTTTCAGTACGAAAGTTATCGTTGGTAGATTAAGGTCGCACACACAAAAATAAACAAATCGAACAACCTGAGTAAATTTTTCATTTGCCAAATAATTTGTGTATTCAAGACTACATTTGATAATAAAAAGAACTGTTGAATTTATTTTCCTCTTCAATAACGCGAATACGACTTAACGTAAGTATTGACTTTGAATTTGTTAATTTAGTGACGATATCTAACCTTAAAAATTAATTATCTAGTGGGGCAGGTTGTCTCAAATTCGCGGGGGCCTCTTGTCACATGGGACAACCAGCCCCCACACTAGACTACAGAAGGGCAAAGCGCCGCCTGACGTACTTTTAAGAGCTGCTAGATTAGTGAGATCAGCATCCTCAATAAGAAAAGCGGCAGCTGACTTCAATGTAAATTACCGTACTTAAGCAAGATACTGTAAGAAAATTCCAGAGTCTGAATTACTTGATGATCGAGTTGTTGCGCCATCAATTTCAGTTGGCTACATCAAAAATCATTTAGTATTTGAGCCTAAACTTGAAAATCATCTAGTGGAATATCTACTCAAAGCATCTGGTATTTATTTTGGATTATCACCCAAGGAAGTACGTGGACTGGCATATGAATTTGCTAATGCTAATTCCTTGAAAATGCCGGAAAATTGCAAGCTCCATAAAATAGCTGGTCCTGACTGGTTTAATGCGTTTCTAAAACGTCATCCTGTAGCCAGTAGTTTCAATAAAACGAACGTCAACGCATTTTTTGATAATTTAGCTTCAGTTATGGAAAAACATAAATTTGAGCCTCACGAAATTTGGAACATGGACGAAACTGGGATTAAAACTGTCCAAGGACCCGACGGCGTTGTTGCCAGAAGAGGATTCAAACAGGTTGGTTCGATAGTTCCATCAGAAAGAGGAACTCTTGTTACTTTAGCAAGTGCAGTATCAGCTATTGGAAATTCCATACCTCCTTTTTTCATTTTTCCACGGGTACATTTCAAACCACATTTTTTAAATTCGGCTCCTCCTGGCTCACAAGGTTCTGCAAACCCATCAGGTTGGATAAAAGAGTCACATTTCTTGGAGTTTCTTAGATTTTTTTACCTTCATGTGAAAAGTACTGTGGAAAGACCGTGACTGCTTTTATTAGATAACCATGGATCACATCTGAGTATAGAAGGACTGAATTTTGCCAAAGCAAATGGTATTGTCATGCTCCCTTTTTACCCTCACTTTTCACATAAACTTCAACCTCTTGACCACGCCGTTTTCGGCCCTTTTAAGACATATGTAAATACGAGTACTTCCTGCCATTCTTGGGTTTTAAATAATCCCGGTAAGACCATGACTATATACGGCATACCTTCAGTGGTCTCTATTGCATACCCCCTCGAATTTACCCCCAAAAATATACAGTCTGGATTTCGGGTGTCAGGTGTGTTTCCTTACAACTGAGATATTTTCACGGATGATGACTTTCTTGCGAGCTCTGTCACTGATAGGCCAGATCCGGGTATCTTGAACGAAGCAATAACTGGATCAAACCCAGAAACCTTAAACGAAAAGGAAGTTGGGCCAAACCCAACCATCTTGAACGAAGATGAAACTGTAAGTCTGATAAATATTAACACGCAGGAAGCAATAGATAATATACGAGAGAGCAAAACAGCTAATCAAACTAGTTTTGATGATCCCTGCTGTAGTAGTTTAGTAAGGCAGCATACGAGAAATATAGTACTTCGAGAAAGTTTAAGACCTTATCCAAAGGCATCGGCAAGAAAAATGAATCGAGTTTCCCGTCGTAAACGAGGGAGTGCAATACTCACTGACACTCCAGTAAAAGACGAATTAGAGAAAGAGAAAAATAAATGCTGGAACAAGAAAAAGAGGAACAGGGAAACAGTGAAAAGAGACGTTTTTGATTCAGAAAAAAAAATGAAGAAATATAAAAAAAATGAAAAACGCTAGTCCTGTTCAGATAATGAAACTGATGGAGAAGAATGTACTTTTACTTGATTTGTCTTGAACCATTTTCTAACAGCGCGCCAAATGAAGAATGGGTGAAATGCTCATCGTGTAATGATTAGTCTCATGATGCGTGCATTGATGGACGCGAACTTTACATATGTTATAACTGCGATAGTGACTAATTGTAAAAAAACTCTTCTACTTTTTTCTCATGAAGATTTGGTATTTAATAAGCATTTTTTGTAATAATACATATGTTTAAAAGTATGATATCATACTTTATTAATGATCTAAAATACACGTGACAACCAACCCCAAACAATGTGACATCCAGCACCAGCAAGGGGCAAGATGTCACACTTGATTCTGTATTTTGAAACATTTTAATTTAATATTGTAAATTATTTTACAGCCTTATCGATTTTAAAGTGTTCCCAAAGGATAAACCATATTAGTTATGCACCAAATATGTGCATATAACGCTTCAGATCCAACCAAAAAAAGAATTACTGAAAATTGTGACAACGAGCCCCGGTCTCCCCTACTGCTGTGACAATATTGAAAACTAGGTTTACCATACAATATCTCCAAAATGGTTTGGAATTTTGTTAACTGATGTAATAAAGAATATTTGGGAACATTAAAATGTTCGTTCTTTAATACTTTTTTTTCCGGTGTCCAAAAAGGTAAACCGTGCACTTTTTCAAAAAATTAATTATAATAATAATAATAATAATAATTCGCTTATATATCTAGAGAAAACCTCATAAGAAGCTTTCTTGATAAGGATGATCTAAAAAAATTTAAAAAGCGGAGCAAAGAAAAAGAATTTTGAAATTTATTTAATAAAACTAAAATGAATGTTGCTGCCTGCAAAACTCTCCTTTAGTAAAAAATGTTGATACACTATAGCGAATTTTGAATTAAACGGGCTAAAAGCGGATATAAGAAACACCAAACATTGCAACTCAGCATACACATCTTCGGAGCGTCAATCAAAATAAACATCCCGATTACGGACGGCAAGCTGACAAATGGAAAAAGGAACTGTCTCATATTACCATCTATTAAACGTCTATTATCGTCAACTAACCTGATAGAAGGACCGCAATGGCGATCAGGATGGCACGGATTGTCGCTGAGGCCTCCAAATTGATCATTGCTCTACGCGGCACTTCTATATTGAATAAACGGGCTGCGGTTTGGACTGATTTGAACACCGGCGGGTTGGCGTCCGTACTTGTCGACTCCCCGTGCACTATTGGCACGCTGCCCTCAGAACTGATACCGAAATCATATGCAGCCTCGTCTTAGATAACTAATTGCTCGTCGCAGAGTGTCGGAAAAATAGCGGCAGGTCACGCATTTTGCTTCTATATCTGAATCTATTGTTTATTAATAATTCGTGGCAATCATTTGAAACCTCCAAAGTTCTAATTACATGATACCTAAAGCCTATATGCCAGTGCACCGCAGTTGCTATGAGTAGCTCAAAGATTAGTAGAACTGGGAAAAGCCTAGTCATGTAGATTGTTCCACAGTCTCGATACATAAACAAACCTAGGTTTTTCCCAGCAGCTGCCGCTTTTGACGAGACGTATCCGTTTCAGATCAAGTCTTCGGTGATCTGGACTCCGACCAGCCGAAATGAACGGCTCTTTGGTAGAACTCGCTCATCTATCGAAACCGGATGAGCGCCAGGACGCTTCTTGTTCGTCAAGGTACAACACTTTGTTTTGGAAGCATTACACCGTACAAGATTGTTGCGTTCCCAAGCAGTGATTACCTCTATGTCTCTGGTCAGAGAGAAAGTTACTGCTAGTCTTCTATTCTCTAGCTCACCGGCTGAGATCGGCTTGTCACTCTGCATATAGAGTGTTGTGGATTGGATTGATTGTACAGAAAATGAGGTCGTTGATATGTAAGAGGAACAATATCGGAACCAAGACGGATCCTTACAATGGATATCTTGCGGCTAAAGGGAAAGTCATCCACTCATCTCCAAAGCTTCTCTGGGAGGCTATAGGATGGAAGTTTGCATAGAAGGACAGCATGCCACAGCTGATCGAACGCTTTCGTGATATCAAGAGCAACGACATGAGCCTCATCATAAGACTGGATAGGTTTAAATACAAATTGCGTACCGTAAGCTAGGAGGTCCCCTGTGGATCACTGGTGCCGGAAACCATACTGCCTGTCGCTAACCAAGCCGTGACGTTCGGGATACTCCAGAAGCTACAGCTTTATGCACCTCTCCATCAGCTTACTTACAACAGTGTAACGATTTCACCGTCCGATTGTATTTATTAAATCACTTCTCGATTTTCATTTCAGAATCGCAACTCATTAATCCCATCTCTAACTTATCCCATCTCTAGCTTTTTTACTTGGAAACATTTCCGCTTGGAGCGCGCTTGATGCGGAGTTCCTGATCTGTGATCTTCCTCGCGCTTCCTTTTAACTTGAGCCGCCGATCTAACAAGAGCTGAGAATTTTGTTCTCTGTAGCATGAGGTCATATAGCACCATGTGCTAGCATTTTGTAAAATGTGTGTCCAAATAGGATAAAATGATTGGGGCCACTCCCTTTGCCTCTGACTTTGCCTTTGCCTTTGTCTTTGACTTTGCCTCCCTTTGTCTATGACTTTGCCTTGCTTGGCCTATCACTTTGCCGTGCCTTCACCCGTGCATGTGCCTTGGCTGCGCCATCACTTACAGCTTCATCCTTGATGAAGATCACGTTTAAGTTCAACTTCACTGCATCCTTCGCCTACAACTAGTTTTGAAGCCACTAAATGTGAGGTCACCCCTCATAACTGGGACCTCCACTTGAACCACCTGGTCATCCTCGCTTCAGTCCAGTCAAAATGGACCAGCTTAGCGAAAGATAAGTGGATGATTTTGTAACAGCGCCAAAGATTTAAAACTTTTATTTTGTTCTTTAAAATTTCAATTTCAAATGTACTGAAAATGCTTTTCTAGTTAAATAAAATCTGTTAAATTTTTGTGTTCTGACGCCCGAAGATGTCTTCATGCCACCGACTGAGCTACCGGAAGCTAATGGTAAACCCCCTTTCTGTGATTGTGCAGAAAAGTTGGAATCTTCATTGCATTCCATCTTTTCTGGACTTTTTGCGGAAAGGAAGCCTTTACAACAGAAAGCAGTGCTATAGGTCTTTAGTTGTAAGGGTCGATCTTAGATCCTTTTTTGGGATGGGTTGGACATGAGCAAATTTCCAGTTTTCTGTTATAGCTACATGTTTCCTGGTCAAATGAACCACATACGAGACTGTTGGAATTGCAATTTTTTTAATGACGTTTCGGTCACCGAGGTGACGTTTTTGAGTAGTACAGATCAATGACAAATTGAAAGTTCAACAACACCGATTTAGCTTAATAAGACTTAGTGTTTCGTAGAGTATTACCGGAGAAAACAACGGTTTTTCCCAAAATAGTTTTTATCTTTTATGATTTTATTTGTGATTTGATTCCAAAATAGGGGACGCGTTGACATTTGCCACTGACTCTCATCTGCAAGAATGTTCCATTTTTTATCCCCAATCAACTTACTTTTTCTCTCATTTCTCATTATTGGATTTTTGCAGAGATTAATTCTGATTTACAAAATGTGTATTTCATACATTAAGATTGTAAAACTATAATTACATTACATTACATTAAGCATGCACCGAATATGAATCCATCGAATACCAGCTTATGGATCTAAAAACAGACCTTACATAACGCCTTTTTTTAGATGAATAATTCAATTTAGGTCGTTTAATACAGATTGCTTCAATCCATTTGAATGAGATTATCATTTTTACGTCTTCTATACAAACCACCAGAATAGATACGTGTTTAGTAGTTAAATACGTTAATCGATGGTAGGATACTATTATCGAACATATTATATCTTTCTCCGATAAGCAGTAGTGCAGGAAATATTTAAAATAAGACATTTGATATGAAAAGGGGAATTGTAAAACGTTTCAAAGTTCATGTTGACTTATGTGATGGTTATTGACCGTCATGATTCCAAAACAAATTTTGTTTTGGAAGGTAATCAATGAACATTCAAACACGCGTACTTCCGTAGTTTTATCTATTTAAATTAGCTTCTAATATATGGATCAAAGAAGTTGTACATATTTTCTTACGTATGTACGTAAATTCTCATTTAGGAAAATATTGACTTACCATCCTGCCAAATTGCTCCAAAAAACTATTTTTGATGATGTTACACCATTCCTTTGTAAATGATATGTGAAAAATTAATATAGATAGATTGTATTTCAGAGACTTTGATACTTTCACAACAACGTGACGTTAATAATTTCGATTCCTTGTAATATTTTTTAAATCCCACAATTACGAAAAGTTTGGATAGATTCATAAAAATTGTATTGTTTCCAATCAGTATGGTGAAACAACTTTATGTGCATGATCACGGGAGAAAAATCGATAATTTCTAGTTGCCGTTTTTTTTTTGAGGCAAAATGACGTTCTTGCTATTTTTGATGATGTTGTGTGGTCCTTTGTAAAGGATCGTGAAAAATTGGTATAGATAGTTTAGATTTCAGAGACTTTGGTACTTTCACATTTCATTTTTTGTAATATTTTTTAAATCCCACCATATTAAAAAGTCTGAAAAGATTCATAAAAGTTGTACGTTTTTCAATTGTATGGTAAAAAAACTGTATGTGCATGTCCACGGAAAAAAATCTAGCTAGCTTTTTTTTGAGGCAAAATTGCACTTTTTTAATATCTTTTCGCACACGATTTCGAATTTTTAAAAAAGAAACATGAAAAGCAAGACTAAAATGTTATGTACACCCCTCAAGACGATGTCTTAATAGCAAATGTAGGTTTAAACATTAAACATTATGTTGGCCATTTAGGAGTTCTAACAAAATAATAATTATCAAAGTTGAACCTACCATCCCCATAATAATAATAATAATAATAATGTCTTTATTTTTTAGTTAAAAGAATAACAAAGAAAAAAAACTCATTTGATGAGGGAGGCGGCATTCAACATAGTTGCTCTTCCATGCAACCCCCATAATTTGTAGGTCTATTTCCACACAAAAATTTAAGATAAACAATGGTGAACTCATGTACCTTGTTAAACTTCCTTATTGAGCCTCAACATACGGTGCGCTTGAAATTTGAGAAAGAGCGCGTCGATGGCATCCGTGACCTCGTACCTGGGTTGCTATGCAACCATGTGTTTCTATCTCTTTCTAACACACGTATTGCACGCTTCTCTCTCGTACACATTACGACGTCAGCGGTATTTGGTTTTCAGCGTAATACTGTAACACCATCATAATAAAAATTATAACGACAAATATACTATCAAGACATTTCACCTTCTACGCATGCCTGCTTTGCTGGTATATTTATCATTGTTTCTTCCATTTCCGTTGCACGGCACATTTCTTCCCTTATTCTATTTCGAATATTGATTTTTAGATAATTGCATGCATTTTGTTTTGTATTTAGCGTAACCCCCCTCCCCCAAAAACTCCTTAAAAATGCAATTTTGTCTGGGAGGAGAATATCCCATTGCTATACAGACCATCACGCACAAATTTAAGTTTTTCAATCATGATGGCACATTTTATTACTTTTAGAATGATATAGTACTCTCTCTGTCATTATATTTTCTGTTAAGTGACATTTGTACGTAAAACGGATGCTTGTAGATCCATAAATATGAGTGACATACTTTATGTACACTACTCGGATTTCTCCATTGTTGTTTTTTGAGAGCAGTATATAATGTTCTCTCTTTTGTGTTCTACCCCTGCCGTCTGCAGTGGGATGTAAGGAGTCATTAAAGTTGAGTGCATCTTTCTATAGCTCTTGTTTACAAATGCATAGGAGAAATGCGACACATCAGCGGTTTATTTTTGGCCTGTAGGAATGAAATATGAAAACCTTCAGCTGACACGGGAAGCTAACAAGGAAAACAAATAATGAATGTTATTTTTTTTTCATACACATTTAATAGATGCTTTTGCTTGATGAGAATTTCCCAATCAAGCTATTTTTGTTGATTAGCTTCTATAACTTATAGCGTACACAGAGTGAAAACCGCTAAGACGCCTTCCAGGTTCAACATACTATGACTTGTTTTAATAGACTAAAATTGTCTTATTAATAGCTGTTTGTCAATTTTTCAAGAATGATACTTTTTATGCTCGCTTGAAATCGTCTAAAAATGGCACGCACCTGCCGTCTCTTTAAATAAAAACAATTTTTGAAATCAGCATTCATTTAAAAGGTTTTTGCTCAAAAAAATAAAAAATTCTTTCACTTCAGGGTAAAATCGCGGCGACTGCTGTGCGGAAAGTTATTAACTTTGTTTAAAAATGAATGAGAATTCCAAAAAATATTTTTTATTATCGGATGCACACCCCCCCCTTATATCAAACGTACCTCAATAAAAAACGATTTCACCCTAAAGTAAAACGATATTTATATATTTAAGCGGAAACCATAACCAATATATCATTTGCTCAGGAATGAATGAAGATTTCAAAAATGGTTTTTATTTGAAGTGAAAGCAGTGGCGTACCATTTTTCTCTACAAAAATATTAAATGCAAAACCCTTATGGATGCCACTGACAGAAATAATAAAATTGTTTGTACATCAGAAAATGCACTTTGATGCATAGATGTGTACCAAATTTCATAAAGATATCTACAATAGTATCACAGTTATTATAAAACACGGATTTCTTTCTGAAAACCTTACCGCACTTTATCTCAAACGTTAAGACGTTTGGAACATACGTTCATAAACAATGTTTTCTTGAAATGGGTCCAGGAATCGCCTCCTTAAATATACTCACTGACATTGGAAGTGTTACACCCAGAAAAAATAATTTCTTCAACTTGATTGTTTGGCAATGAGCTAATCTTACATCAAGAATGAAACGATAAACATTCTCACGAAATTTTATTGACAATAAGAAAAAAATTCATAGTGTTAGGCAACTGAATACGCTCCTGTATGCGTCTAGGCATCGACAAAATGAGAAGATCGATGTCTGGTTGTGGCACCTCATTCCAAGCAACTCGAACTTCGTGGATTAGCTGTGGTGGATGGTGCAAAGTGGATAGCCTCCTCTCCCATCATATCTCACACACGTTCGATGGGATTTAAATCCGGTGAACGACGTGACCACCGCAAAACATTATCGTCTGCTTCTTGAAGAAAGTCCGTAGTACGACGAGCGATATGGGGACGTGCGTTGTCTTGCTGAAAAAGGACGCGTGGACGGCCCTATAGATACGGCAGTAAAGTGGTCTGTATGACATCATCAACATAACACGCAGCAGTCTATTGCCTTGCAAAGAGAAGGAGCGATCGACTACCATAGGCAATAGCGCCCCAAACCATTACGCCAACAGTCATGTGTACATGCCTCTCAACAGCAAGTCTAACATCAAGCCGTTCTCCGCGGCGGCGTCTTATCGTCTTATCCTTCTACATCCATCGTGCATACCTACAGAATCGCGATTTGTCACTGAAGATGACATTTTGCCATTCTGCCTCCCAATGTTGCCGTTCTCTGCTCCAGTTCAAACGATGACGACAGTGGTCCGCAGTCATAGAAAGCACTAATCGTGGACGGTATGAAAGAAGTCCAAAGCTCGAATACACATAGTAACAGCCTTCATGGTGATAATTTGGACGTCTTCGAACCCGAGGCATTTTTTTATGCTTAACACTAGTAAATGAAAGGGCAATAACTAAAAATATCTGTACTACTCAGCTCTCAGAAACTGCTCTCTTCGCAAAAACTAAGCGATAATATTTGAACAAAGGTCAACAAAAACAAAGATAAAACGTTGGCATTGTTGCCACAACATGCTTTAAATATAATCATTATGTTGACAAAAAACAAGTTGAAATTATTTTTTCTGGGTGTAACACTGTCACTGAGTATATTAGCATGTCATTGAGGAACCCCCTTTATACTTCTTTATCATCATGGCTAATAAATAATATGTACAAGTTGCCACAATTATAGCCAAATATTGCAACAAAGATATGGGTCGTTTAGGGGCTCCTTAATTAATAACTAATACGAAAACGACACGTATTGGCAGTGTTCTGCGACATTTGGTGCGTATTATGGATTGCTTGAATATGGTTTGAAGTTGAGTTATTTTTTTCAGCGAAACAGCCGCGCAGGCAGAAGCTTCAATGCCAGGGCTGCTATGAAGATCCCAAAGAAACTTTGTTAATCCGATTCTTGAGCTGTCGAAGGTTAGTAGAACTGGGAAAAGCCCCCTCTTATAGATTATTCCACAACTCGACACCCTAAGGACAAAGGAGCGGTCGTATCGGCCAGTTCTGGATGTACGAAGTTCGACACGGTTAGGATGGGAGGCGGAAGTCAGGCGGGTCTGCCTGGCAGGCACATCGCGCGGCGGCATCATGGAGGAGAGGTCCGAGGAGCAAAGTCCATTGGTGTAGCAGTAGAAGAGAGCTAGATTGCCGACGGCCCGCCGCCGCCGGTGCAAAAGGGTCTCGAGACTGTGAGAGAACAGTCACCGGTCAGTCGGACAGCTCTCCTCTCGAGCACGGATAATGCTGTCGGGGCGGCAGCACCCCAAACTTGTGAGCAGTACTCGAGGATAGACCTTATATCGGCCTTGTATAGAGTGAGGAGGTCATGCGGAGAAAAGTATCACTGATTAGTCGAATATCCAATAAAGATGCCTTGGTTGTCAAAAACATTTATTGATAAAAACTGTTGTACAAAAAATACATTTTTAATCATCTTTTTGTATTACTCTTATAAAGTATAAGCAATCAGACAAAAATAGAATAAAACAAAAATAAACCATTATAATCGATAAACCTAATATGTTTACACTTACTAATATACACAATTAAAAAAAGATAAGCTAGGTACTCAACATAAAATTATCAAATTTGTCTATAAGTTGAAACGCCTCGCTTTGCTCAAAATCTGGAGGCATGACAAGATTTTCGATAAAATCATGATAAGCACTTTTTGCGAAGCTCCTAGCAAACTGTTTATGTAATAACTTGAACAAGGAAGCACAACGCTTGGACATTTCCGCAATACATAATTTCTGCTGGTCAGTTTTGATCCGGTAGTGTGGGATCCTCTCATTTATTGACTGTAATTGCATTTGTAATCTAAGCAAATCGTCAGACTCTGAAGATATAACTTTTTCTTGCAACTCTAAGAAATCCGAAAATAATCCTACTTCACTGTCCCACTGAAGAATTTCGTCAGCTCCTGGTCTAATATGGTTTACTAGGAACTTAATAACATCATACTGCTCGTTAATGAAAAGATTTGGCATTAAATGTTCAACAAATATGTCGTTAGCTTTGACATAATCTCCAGCATAAGCATAATATACGTAAGCCTCAAAGAATCTTCCTAATGGTAGAGTCTTCTCAGCTTTAACAGTATGTATCCATTCTGATGGAACATGTAACTTATTAACTAGAAAGTTTTCAGTTTCTTTGGTCGACTCGTTCACTTCTGGTGATAGGTTGCGGTCCAGAATACCCATGATGAGATTTTTCTTTAAGGAAGAGTCTTCAAGATACAACAGTGCAAAAATTGCCCATTCCCACTGGCCTAGTGTTTCTAATTGGTTTGAGAAGCTGACACAAAGTTTTGTGATTTCTGCTGCTGAGATGATGCCGACGTTCAGGGATAAGAAAAGCTGGAGAAGCAGCCAACTGGAAAAATTACCATAATAATTGTTAGTAAAGTGGGATATTTTTCAAGAGTTTCTAGATGTCCGGGTTCATACAGTAGAAAAAATTTATACTATACTATTCCAAAGTACCAGGCAAAAAACATGAAATTTGACTACCAGTCGATTTTAGAGAAAATGCATATAGTGATAGTTCATGTTGTGCTTATCAAATGTTCCAATAGGCACAATGCCCAGAAGTGATTTCTATTGGAGATACAGGGTATTAAACTTTGGTGCCTTAGCCCCTGTGGGTTCTCCCGCCTGGAACCATTTTACGAAAAATAAATCGTCTTTAATGTACTAAGGGACTAAACGACAAAATAAAACTCATATGGTCACATAATACAGGATCCGGCATGAAGGATGGATGTTTTTAAAATGAAAATTGAAACTCTCAACTGCCAGACGAGGCTTCAAGAAAATCAAAGATTTTTCGAAAAGGAAACGTGATAAGAACAAAAGTTATCACTCGTTTCTTTCTTCCATAAAAGAGGAATATTCACACACAATTTCAGAGCTGTACTTATATTTGTTAACAAGTTTCGATTGAAGAAAGAATGCACAATAAATTGACAAAAAAAAATGAAAACAATGTTTTTTAGTCATCTCTATACACGCCAGGAAGTTGAAAAGAAGTCTAAAAAAGGGACCTGCCACCTTAACGAGAAAGCATTTCTGGGCTTAGCCCACAGTGAAATATTTGGCTAGCAGAACATTAATTATTACTATACGAATTCTATTGGTATATCAGCAAAACAGAGCCATATCATCATATGTTAGTTTAGAGAGAACATCTTCAGACTGTGTGACAAGGAAATGTCACAGATAAGTTGAATGATGTAGTTAAACTAGTTTGAATCAACGTCAAATATATGTCTTACCTGAGTCTGTAATCCAAAAGATCATCCGTGTGTGTAGCAGGGTTCAGAACATCACTCAGCCGATGTATCCTACTCCTGTACGCCATTAGAAGGTGAAACAGGATATCGAAGGCTGATCCGTCATAAGTGGATTTATAACACGGATTTGGTGCCTCAGCATACCCATATTCCTCGAACGCTTTCTTGTACAAATCAATAGCTGCCTCAATCGGTGCACCCGCTGGACAAATATACCTGAAATTAAAAAAAATCTTAATTGTATCCGCTGGAAGATGATAAGACATTCGTTTCAGTACAGGTACCCTCCTCTGAAAATGAATATCCAATTCAAGATACACCTTGGAGAGTATTCAAAAAATTTAAAATGCAATTTTAACTAGCAAAATTACTTCAAAGTCGATTCAATCTAAATACGCTAAAATATATAACAACTGTAGTAATCCCACGAAACTATTACAAGTTTATAGGGGTGCAATTTAAAATACAAAATATCACTCATGAATCAAATAGTACAAATGAACCATTACATCGACATTAGCACCATATAAAAGATTCAATAAATATTTAAATCACACTTACCACAGATGCATACTGAAAGCTCTTTTCCAGTCAATATCCTCAAAAATATTCTCCTCGTCCTTATGCGGAATACCAGCTAACAACAAATATATCTTCTTCGTATCTTTGCTTATGTGCTTAGCTGACAAATTCTTATACCACATCTCGATCTGTTCTTGTAAGAAAGCTGCAGTTTCATTCGTTAAACTGAGCTGGGAGATAAGAAGTGACAGTTTCGGATGATGTTTTTCAATCGCCAAGCTGGCAGCTTCACAAATTTTGAATCTTGATAGATGATTGAATAGTTGCTGGGTAGTATCGGTAGTTGAAGGTGTGTCTTCAACATCAGTGTTAAATTTCAACCTGAAAGGGTAAGTTGATTAGCATCATAACAAAGTGATACCTGTAAACAATGATTCAATAGGGAATATTCATGTGATTAAAATATTGGTTATTTATTTTTATTAAGTCTATTTTGCTACAGAAAGCCACCTCCAACCTATAATAATAATAATAATAATTATAATAATAATAACTTTTATTCAAACTGCTTTGCGGATATGAAACGACAATAGGAAAAGGTCAGAGTTACATAAGCAAAACAAAAATATCCATAATTAAATTTGAATAAAAGAGGTGATAAGTTATAATAAGTAGCAAAAAAAACTTGTTTAGAAGTATAAATAGTTCAATAGAAGAATAGAAAAAGTGTGCAGCATAAATCAAGTAAAATAATCAAACAAATATGTTTAAGAATTATAAAACTCTTGTAGATAATAAAAACACATAGGGTACAAATACGAGTATGCTAGAAGGAAGTTAGAAGTTTCAAAGTATTTCAGTAAGCCTTCAATAAACTTACCATTCACTGAGCAAGTGTCGTCGATAAGAAACTGAATCATCACCATCAGCAGGTCCCCAAAGCACTTCCGCTAAAGTCCAAATACTATGCAAGTACCGAGCATGTTCATTCTCGAACTTTCTCATCGTGTCTCTAAAAAGTTCAGTCTGTTTTTTAAGGTACGAATCACCACCGACCACTTTGAAGGTAGGTATATTTTCAGAATCGGTTTCGTATGAACTTTCTTCTAAAACCACCTCTAAGGAAGACTCCAGACATTCCTGAAAACAAAAAAAGAATTCTCTAACAATACTTTAGATATCGAAAGAATCGAGTAAAATTTTGAATCCTTAACAATAAAATCATACCTGCAAAACATCCTTCTTATCACGGTTTCCACACTCGATAGCATTCACAGACAATTGGCCATTGATTTCATCATCTTTGGAATTCAAAGCATAAAAATTGAATCCTTTCATCCAACCCACTTTGAAGGATTTACCTTTGAACATGCTCATATCTTTCAGACACCTGGTGGGTATCTCCATTGCTGATGTCTCAAGTCCTGAAAGAATAACAGTGACAAGGTTTGTCGTGATGTACATGTTATATAACATCTCACTTTCGAAAATGTTTGAGTTTACAATTACATTAACCGAAAACATCGGAAATATATCTCATCAAATGTAGTTGAATTCTGAATGAAGCCTCGAAATCCAAGATACCAAACTTACTTTCAAAATTGTACACTTTCAGAACTTTTGGTCTTAACACTCCTCTCCTTTTCGGTACCATCACATCTTCTTTAAGAACCGGTCGCTGAAGAGGCATTTCTTCAACTTCCGGTATATCTAAGTACTGCCTTATGATAGATACGTGGCTACCTAAACACAAAAGGAATATATTACTTCTACTCAATCTATCAAAAGTCGCAAATTTTTTTTAAAGACCAACCTGCATCAGATGACCTATCATCAGTGAACAATGTGGACTTCATCACTTGAATGCTTTTAGCAGTTCTATATCTATCATAGGCTTCCGGTATTTCGTTAGGAATAGCAAAAAAGTCCTCGTCTGTTATGCGGTCCACATACATTGATTGCTGCAGAAGATTTTGGTCTGTCTCATGTAGAATGAGACTATCATCATCCATTGCATAATGAGGCACCTGCAAATATACACAGTTGAATGAGCAATCGATGATAAACACTTGTCGTTCTAGATCGTTGACAAATGCAAAATAATAATTCTCTCATGGACAGCCTGCATTTTACAAACCTCAAGTAATTCTTTTGATGGCTCTTTTTCTTTCGTTTCGCCAGTTTTACTGAGACGATTGTCATCTGGTTTTTGCTGTGCACCATCTACAGGTTTTTTTGCTAAAACGCTTTCAGGTTTCTTTTTAGCGCCGCCATTTTGGGCATTGGCTTCAGCTTCCTCGTCGCTGTCGTCATATCCATATCTATAGATAGATAAATAGATAGATAGAAAGATAAATATGCTTTATTGTCTGAAGAATACAATCATTATTAATGACAAAGCTTACTTTAAACTATAAGCACATAAGTGGTTCTTAAGTAGATGAAGAAATTATTTACGAACAGATCATCGAATTTATTGAGGGAAATAACATTTTAACCAATTTTCAAGCTGGATTCAGGAAGAAACACTCAACTGAAACTGCAACACAAATAGTTTTAGAGGACTGGAGGAAATGTATGGACAATAGGAAACAAACAGTAACAGTGTTTTTGGATTTCAAAAGGGCGTTTGAGACTATTGACAGGGATAAATTACTTACAAAATTGCATCGCTACCGATGTCAAAGATCTGTATTCAAAATTCTACAAAACTATTTAATTGATAGTCAAAAAACCAAAATTGGATCTACATTATCAAGATCAAAAAATATTTCTGTTGGTATACCACAAGATAGTAAACTAGATCCACTACTACTTATTTTATACATTAATGACATTTGTAATATTTTAGATTATTGTAAACTTCAGATATTTGCAGATGATACATTAAGATACATATCAGATGAAAATATAGCTTTAAAAAGGCTAAATTCTGACTTCGCAAAAATCGTAAATTGGTTAAATGTAAATAAACTAAAATAGAATACTTCATAAACAAAATATATGCTAATAGGGAAATACCTAAATGAAAATACTATCACAGTTAGGATAAATGGAGAAATAATTGAAAATGTTGAATCAATTAAATATTTAGGTAAAGGTATTGATAGTAAATTAAAGTTTGAGGATCGCTACGAATACATTATTTCAAAAATTGACAACAAAACAAATTACTTTTATAGGGCTTCTCATAGTCTTGGTACCTATTCCAAGAAAATAGTTTATAATACAATTATTCTACCGCATTTACTATATTGTTCAACTATCTTGTTCACTGCCAATGAAGATGTATTCTCAAAATTACAAGTCTTGCAAAATAAAGCTATGAGAGTAATATTGAATAAAAATAAGTAAACCAAAATAAAATCTATGTTACAAGAATTGCAGTGATTGAATATAAAAAATTTCATATCATATTTGGTTCTAAAATAAAAAATCATCTTTTGCCAGAACATTTAGAACACTACATAGAATTGAATAATCATTACCACAATTATTATACAAGAGGAAATATAGATTTTCATTTACAAAATTGCAATAGTAATATAACTAGCAAATCAATATTTCAGAAAGGATTACTTGAATTTAATAAACTAAATAATGATATAAAGTCTACTTGTAATTTGAAGATATTTAAAAGAAAATTAAAGGAATATTTCATGGTCAATGAAAATTCTTAGAGATGCAAATTTTGTTTTTTTTTCTGAATATCTGTATGTTATGTAATTGTTGTAGTTGTTTAAAAGAATGTAATTGTAGCAATCATGCTAAATAAATCTTAAACAAACAAATTGTAGAACTCACACAAGGTATTATAATATGGTTTACATATTAAAGTTTTGAATTGCACGGCGGATTATCTTTAAATTGTTAATTCCTTTCCTAAAGTAACTGCTTAAGTATGTTTTAGCCCTACGTTATAACTAATTGTTCTTAAAATGAAGAAAACATTTGCTAGTTCAGTAAGCAAATTTGTCTACATGATTAGTAAGATCTAAATTATGATCAATGCTCCGATCCAAAAATGTGTGTCTGTTTTGTGTATCAATTCATCATCTAAATTTATAAAATGAAAAGGAGTATTTAAATGTCATCAAATATGTCTTATCAACATTGAGAGTCAAGTAACTGTTATCACACCATTTTTTGATTGATTGCATAACACTTTCAGTGGTTGTCTTAATTTCATTTATATTTGCGTCTTGCCAAAGTATTGTGGTATGGTCAGCAAAAACTAAATTAAATTATATTAAATCATTGATATAGATTAAGTATAGGATCGGATCAAATATGTTCCTTGAGGTTATTTAAATATGTTTTAAATCAATTGAGTGAAGTTCCACTACAACCACATTTTTTTTTAATGGTAGATCACGATTTACACAGTCAAAAGCATTGCAAAAGTCGCAAAAAGAGCTACTGAAATTTGTTTATTGTTTAAATTTGCAGTATAACTGTTATAGTAATGTGAAAATAGCCTTCATGGTATTTTTTCTTTTTGAAATCCAAATTGGTTGTCACATAACTTTATTTTTAGACAGTCTCTTAATCTAATCTGGACTATGTTTTTCTATTATTTTTGCTATAACAGCAATTAAAAATCGCTTGGGTCTCCTTTATAAATAGAAATAACTACTGATATTTTTGAAAATTCTGGGTAAACACCTGTGTTACGAGAAATATTTGTAAATTTTGTGAAGCCATCCGGAGCATCAAGTGGAAGATTAGCTATAACATTCGAAGAAATTTCATCAACGCCTGACGATTTTTTATTTCTGATAGATCTTAATACTAACTGCAATTCTTAAAAAAAAATATCAGTAGAATAAAGTAAAAATTTCTGATCTGTATTTATATGGTTTAGATTTGTTAACGGATCGTCAGTGTTTTGTATAGTATTTTTCTGTTCTTCTGCTGTTGCGCAGTAATAATAATTATTTAGTACATCACGATTTAGAAGTAGTATGTTCATGGAAGAGGGAGGTTTGCCTCTTAATTAAAAACAATTTCAACGACAGTACAGTAGGTAAACACATAAAAAGATGTACGCTGATCAATTTCTTAATCTTGTGCTTGATTTACAAAAATAAGAAAATGTTTAGTTAACCCACCTGGAGAAGTGATCAACTTTGAATACCCACGAACCAGTCTCTGGCCTGAAGTCTACAAACTTCGCGCCTTTCTTCATGGTAACCTTCCTCAACTTCTCAGCAAAATTCATTTGTAATAATTCATCTGTATCCTTAATCAATGTATTAGTTCCTAATCTGCGAGGGTATACGTTATCCAAAGTAACTTGCGCCCTTCTATTCAAACCCTAAAAAGACACAGTTTCAAAAGCACGGTTTTCTCAATTCAAACATCGCAAAAAAAGGCGCTGCTCATCTACAAGTAAAAGGTCCTAATCTCTGGATCACCTACTGATAACCGATGCTGTAAATGAGACATGGATTTTCAAAATACATTCCTGATACAAATGAACAAATACAATAAAATACAGTAAAGTTGATTCAGCAAAATTATATAGACATTTTTAATTTATTATTCATTCCCTAACCTTGTTTACTTAGTAAAGCAACACATGCAGAAAGTGCTAAGAATCCTTCAATAATATAGACAAAGAACATTTTTTAGTTCCATTCAAAACCTATGAAAAGCAAGCACTCTCATCCTTACTGGAAGGTAATTGTACATACAGCCTTATTACCAGAGTTGCATAAATCCTATGAGTAAGGGTCAGTCTGTGTTCAGGAGTAATTTGTAAATCCCTGTTTCTGGTATTATAGGAGTGAGCATATTGATGGGTTCTTAACTCAGTAGAGTTTTTTTGCTTACCTTGCCCACAGGTGGCTTTTTCGAATCGTCGGGATATACGTTAATCTCTCTGTATCTAAAATGAACTAACTCGTCGATGTTCAGCCCTGTGATATCCATTTCATCAGGAAAGTACACATTTCCGTATCCCTTTCTGCCTATGGTGAATCCTTTGACGATGCATCGACCTGTAAATCAGAAACGTTTATTTGAGTAGATCTTTCACCCTCAGTTTACGAAACAAGTCGGCTTTTAACACCTTGAATAATCAATGTATGTTTAAATTATATTCTCAAGATGCGGTAAGAGGAGATTGAAAATTTGGGGGATCCTTATTCCTTTTCAAGTTCATCGAAATTTATTTGGAACAAACACTATTTGACCTATGAACATGAAATTTGACTGAGTTTATGTCAGCTAAAAACTAATTTTGCGACAGGGCAGGATTAAGGGCGGTTATGGACAGATATACATGAATGTGAAAAGATACTCGCTCATTAGTCACGAAATCTTGAAAACTATTTAACCTATGAACGTTAAATTTCATAAAAATAGTACGCCTCTGTTCTTTTTTTCGAAACGCACATTTCCCGAATGTTACCTTCAATTTGCTAAAAATAATTACTTTTGCGTTTTTTTCTGTTTTCGTAAAAATAAAAATAAAACAAATTAGATAATTCATGAAGCCTAAATACAATTATGTAGTTTCAAAATAAAATAGGAGGCCTTGATACCAACTTGACGTTTCTTGGGAGATAGTTTGTCAAAGTTGTGTTATGCAGTTGTTATCGTTACTACTACCATTTTTTTTATTTTGTAAAAGTCAAGTCAAAAGTTTATTTTTTCCATTTTTGAGTGATGTGAAATGGAACTTAACAATGATGAGTACGCCGATATTATTTTTGTGTACAGGTTCTGTAATGCATTAGCGGCTTCTCGGGAGTAATTATTTGTAGCAAATTGAAGGTGAAATTCGAAAAATTGCGCGTTTCGAAAAAAAAGCAGCGACGTACTATTTTTATTTGGAAAAATAATCTTTTTAACGAAGCATTCGAGGAAAAAATGTTACATAGAAGATCCCCCTTAAAATGCGGTCCTGTGTACGATGTTTCATTTTTGGTCACGACTTGTGAATCACCCTGTATAAAAAAGGGAAGTGGTATATATTAACCACGGAATCTCGAAAACCATTTTGACTTATGAACATGAAATTTGGACAGGACTTGTCAGTTAAGATCAGATTTCACAACAGGGCCGGATTAAGGGAGCTAAGCGCAAACATTATATAAAATAATAATAATTAATAATAATAATTCATTTCATTGTTGAAAAGAACTGAAAATTCTGTAAGAAATGAAAAGGACATCAAAAACAATGGTGACGAATTAAAAAAGTATAAACCATAAATCTATACAAAAAAACGCCTCCACAGTGTACAAACATTTGTCTAGCAAAAAATGTTTTAGCTTTCTTTGGAAACAGCTATATTTGATTCATTCCTAATGTCAACAATGGGCTTATTAAAAATATTGCATACTCCAAGCGAACAGATATAGTCACGAATTCTCTGAAACTATTTGGTAGAGAGGTAGTTCATGAAGAAGGAATGTCAGCTAATCAAAAAAAAAGGGTAATATTAATGCTTTCCGCCAGCGGTTTTGCCCCGCAGCTTATAGGTGGCTTCATTAATAAAATAAAATTTCTCAAGCATGCAAGTTGACAGCCAATTTACTAATACAATGAAATTATAGCAATACTCAAGAACAATGTTATATGTTAGGAACAATTTAACGCGTACGAAGTCATGGGTAACAGATAGTACATGATAAAACTCACCATTCTCGTCCATAAAGTTAGGCAGTTCGTCCAAACTAGGCAATGTGTAGTATTCAGGTCTAGTGCATACGATGCCACAAGGATGTTCTTTAGGAGCAACTTGAGTAGATGAATGAGGATCATCATCAATTAAATCTAGCTCAGCAGATGTGTTTAATTTCTCCAACCCTAAGAGAATCCAATTTTAAACTTACTAAAAGCTAATACTATATTCGCGCCTCCGAAAAAGTACCCGAGATGAAATGAGATACAACAGCGTCATCTATGAGAATCTGTCACAGATATGTGCTGGCGCTCATTTTTCCCCTCTCAAGTTGTAAACATACTCGCTCATCGGAATAATCAATCAATCAAAAATAGATGAATGTCTGGGTGTACGACGGATGTCTTTTAAGTTTTGCATATGTAAATAAAACAACACGGTAGGTAGTTTTAAATGACTTTATTGTTTTTTGAAGTATCCTCCACGAAGATTAATACACATCTGCATGCGCTCGAACCAATTTTCGAAGCACTTATTCCACTCGTTTGCTGGCAGGTCCAAAACGGCATTTTTGAATGCGTCAACTGCTTCTTCTGGTGACTGGCACCTTTGACCACGCAGTCTGTTTTTAATTTTCAGGAAAATAAAGAAATCGTTAGGACTCAGGTCGGGACTATATGGAGGATGGTCCAATAATTCCACGTTTTCTTCCGTTAAATACTGCCCTGTTTTTTTGGGATGTGTGCGAGCTTGCATTGTCTTGGTGGAGGTTGATTCTTCTTTCGGGGTTGATTTTTCGAAGCTCGGTGTAACAGTTCTTTGCTCATTAAGAGGAATTGTTGCAATATGACCCGCTTTTGACACAAATGTCGCGACCATCTTTTTCGAAACACTTCGAGAACGGATGACTTTTGTTGGCTTTTCTTCACCTTGGAACACCCAAACAGACGACTGTCGTTTATTTTCTGGTTCATAACAGTAAATCCACGATTCATCACCACTAACAATGCTGTACACATTTTTTGAGTTTCCGCAAGTGAAACGGTCAAGCGTTTTTTGACACCAATTAACCCTGGCTGCTTTCTGCTCTTCAGTCAACAGGTGGGGTATCCAACCAGAAACTAATTCTTCATGTAGAATTTTTTCAATTGAGGTCTTTGAGATCTTCAAGGACGCCTCAATCTCGCGATATGTCACATGTCTATCTTCAATGATGAGTTTGCGCACAGCATCGACGTTTGCCTGGGTGACTGCCGTTTTTGGTGCAGCCACCCTGGAATCGTCGCTAAGGCTCACCCGTCCACGTTTAAATTCTCCATACCAACGGGAAATTGTCGACTAATGTGGCGCTTCGTTGCCGAAAACAGACAGTAACTAAAACTTTGAATTTAAGTTTATTAAAGAGTGAGGTTAAGATTCAGTACTGACGTTCGATCCGCGCGGCCTACTATGTTTCTATATGCAAAACTCAAAAGACATCCCTCGTAGTTCCGACAGGCAGAATATATTAATCAATGCTAAAACTTTCCACTATTGTGTCAAAATGAACTGATGTGAAACTTTAAACTCAGAAACAGTTTCTGCTGTTAGTTGAAATGTAAACAAATGTCATATGATGAATGATTACTTTAAAGACTGTCTATTCTCACCTGCATTATTTTTCACAAGCGAAGTATTTAAAATATATGTTTGTCCTCCTGATATGCTTAAATTGGTTTCGTCATTATTCACAGAGTTTTCAAAGCTCAATTTTAATGGATTGGTTCGTAGACCGCTGCTAGGTTTATTATTTTTTTCAGTTTCATTTTCGTTTTCCTCTAGATTGTTTTTGTTTTCATTTTGAGATGTATTCAGTTGACTGAGTATGTCGAGGCCGGAAGCTCTGGGAGAATTTCCGTCACCTAAAGACAAAAAAAAATGTTTGGTTAAATTTCCGTAAAAACCGGATTGAACAATAGTAAATATAAGCAAAATTTTCACTCAAAGAGCATACCTTGACTATTTGGACGATGTTTAAATATCAACCTTCTACAATTTGTCTTGACATAATCAGTTGAAGGTGAAATACCATCAAATAAGCTATCCTGTAAAAAACACAATCAATCAATAAAATGCTTTACTGATACCACAAAGTCAAAGCATTACAGTTTTCGAATCCCTGAGTGGATTTTCGATATCAAAGAAAACAGCCATTATTATAGTAACCATAGAAATAAAATTTGCTATGCTGAAACTCATACACTTACTTTTACACTCTTAATAGGAACTGTTTTCAGCTTAGTGTGACTTGATGAGTCGACCTTCTTCGATGCATCCAAAAGTGACTTGAGTTCTTTTGGATTTGTTGCAGAAAATGATGGTGGGGAATCTTTCATTTTCGGTTCCAGGCCGGCTAAATGTGGCGCATCCCCGAACGGATCACTCGTGAGAAGAGCCAGGTTTCCAGTAGATTGTTGTTCAGGGGCAGGAAACATCCTATAAAGTTCAAAAAACAAATGTTGTTATCTAATAAACTACCATCTGTAAGCAGGACTAAAAGTTAGGAAAAATGAAAAACCCGCCATCCTCTGTATTCTAATACTACGGCCCGGCTGGATGGATTTACAAAAAAAAGAGGGGAAGCTGTTCTGGGCCCGCATATTTTTTATGCGATTTATTGCATTTATTTATGAATACTTAGTATATTGTATTATTGCACTTGATAGTCATATAGAGAATAGTTGTTCACCAGATGAGTGTTCTTAAAAATTAGGGAGTAAAACAACTAATAGAAACTATGCATGGTCCTATTACTTTTTGAGGAATTGGATTTTTCAACAAACTGTAATTTCAAAATTACCAATACTACAAAATAAAGCTACGAGAATCATATAAAATATAAACAAATATACTAGAATAAATTTTGTTGACAGAACTACTATGGTTAAATATCAAAAATTTCATAGCCTACTTGATTTTCATTTTCATATTCAAGTTAAAAAATCATCTACCAAATCATTTAGAAAATGTTATTAAACTGATCAATGAGACTATAATTATTCTACTAAAGGGAGTATATACTTTTATTTACCAAACTATAGCAGCAATATGACAAATAAATCAGTATTTCAAAAAGGATTGTACGAATTTAATAAATTAAGTAAAATTATCAATATGTGTGCAAGTGAATATGTTTAAAGGAAAATTGAAAAAATATTTCATAGAAAACCAGAATTCATAGTAGTAAAATTTTGTTTAAAAATATGTAGACTTGAAAACATAAAATATTATGTGATATACCGTGTAACTTTGAATTTGTAGCATTAATGTTGAATAAATCCAAAATAAACAAAACAAACGTCAATAAAGGTCATAGAACACTTTCTACTAGATATGATATTCCCTTGTTTTCAATGAATTATTATTATACTGCAAGATGTACCTTTATTTAGTAGTTTTTATAAAGTAGTTCGAGGAACTCAAGATCGGCGGTGAAATGTTGACTCACAACACATTTATAAATTTTCAGTAGCCTTCAAATTCCGCCGCCTAACATTTTATATTCTTTGGGAACAAGAGATAAAAAGAAGGTAAATGAAATGCAAAAATACAATACATACTGTTGCTGTAGAGGCTGCTGTTGTCCAAGTCCCAATCCAGTTAAGCTTTGATTATATGTGATAAATGGATTTTTGTAAACTGCAGGAGTCGCTGTTCCACCAAACAGACTTGGTTTGGCAGTGGTATTTCCAAAAAGTGAAGTTCCTTGCGGTTGAACTGCAATTATAATAAAAAAGAAATAAAAAATGAACAATGAACAGGATCAGGGTTTATAAGCGAGATTTTCTGCCCTAAAAATAACTATTAACTGCATGTTGACAGCAACTATAAAATTTTTGCATATAAATATTTCAGAACATACGAGGAAGTACCCAAAAATAACCGGAATAGCATTGCAGTGGGCGGAGCTTGTGTAGTACACATTTCTGCCCCTAGAGGCGTACAGCGCAACACATTACCAGTTCAGTGCCACCGATCTGGCTTGTTTCGTTCATCTGTAGTCATTATTTTTTGCCAGAGCTGTTTTCGTTTTTTACGATGGCAAGCTTCAGTGAGCAACGTGCAGCTATGAAATTCTGCTTTCTAAGAGCCGTTTTACTCACAAGAGAATTACTCCGAAAATTATGGACATAATTATGCCGAAAATGTTTGCTGTCGTATTACACGTAAAAGAATTCTTGTGAAAATGTTCATGGTAAAAATATAAACCCCCGTTCTATAGAATATGCGCGAGAATCGGCGCAGAGGGTTATTTCCGTGCATGTCAATATCAAATGTCAACGTCAACAACATAACCTCACTTAACATTTGTGGGTGTGGTCCTGTTCGAAACGTACGAAGGAGCGTTTATTGTTATTATTTATTCATAATGTCGTGGAATCGGGAAGAAGCGAAGAAGTTACACTGTTGTTGGAGGAGTACCAAAAATGGCCAAACCTGTACAAGGTGAAGTCACCCAATTACAAAAACAGAAATTGGCGGCGTCAGGCGCTGGATGCGATAGTCCAAGCATTGAGAAGTTTTATGATATTAACTAAGATCTTGATTTCAAAAATAAATTTAAATCAACGACGTCTGTTGTCTTTCCGATTATATTGGACGTCATACCCGTTAAGGTTATGTCCATTCGAAAATAAAGGGTGTTCAGATAAGGACGCTCGAAAGTTAAAATGGAAAAAAAAGGAAAAAAATTTAAGTCAGCACTAAAAGTCTATATTGATCGTAAATAGCATTCGACGACATTATGTATGGAAGATTATATCGTTTAAATGGCCACCGCGACTGCGCTGTACAGCGTGCATTCGCATGGTCCAATTTTCGAGCACTTTTCCGCACATTTCAGCGTCTACCTGTCCGAGGACGCGAATGATGTTGGCCCTTAATGCTGCAATTGTTTGTGGCTTATCCTCATACACTTGAGACTTCACGTAGCCCCACAGGAAAAAGTCTAAAGGCGTTATATCGCACGATCTTGGTGGCCAGTGCACATCGCCGCCGCGCGAAATAATGAAACCGTTGAACTTTTCATGCAGTAAATCCAGCGTTGCGCGTGCGGTGTGGCACGTAGCGTCGTCCTGCTGGAACCAGATGTCTGTTAGATCCATATCGTCCAGTTGAGGCCACAGGAAATCATTAATCATGGCGCGATACCGATCTCCATTGACCGTAAGCGCGTTGCCCATAGCGTCCTCAAAAAAATATGGACCGATTACGCCGCCAGCCCAGAAACCGCACCATACAGTCACTTTAGCAGGATGCATAGCAATTGAGCAAGTCACTTCAGGATTTTGGTCAGCCCATATACGGCAATTCTGTTTATTGACATACCCATTCATCCAGAAATGCGCCTCGTCGCTGCAGATGATTTTTCGTGCAAATGCAGGGTCGACTTGCAACTGCTCTAGAGCCCATGCGGCAAATGTACGGCGCTGTCCATGGTCTTGCGGTTTCAATTTTTGCGTCAATTGAATTTTGTACGCGTGCAATTTCAAGTCTCGACGCATAATTGTCCATGTTGAGGTCTTTGGAAGGGCAAGTTCTTGTGCACGTCGCCGCAATGACTGATTCGGGTCTTGACGCACGCTCTCTCGCACAGCAGCAATATTCTCGATTGTTCTTACTGTTCGTTGCCGCACGGGTGTTGTTTGGTCTGCCACTGAGCCAGTTCTCTCAAATTTATTGAGCAGACGTCGAATAGTGGACTCAGCAGGACGGCCATGCGCACCATAAATTGGACGCAATGCGCGGAACGTTTCACGAACCGAACATCTGTTTTGATGATAAATTTTCACAATTTCCACGCGTTGTTGAATCGTGTAATGCTCCATGATTAAATGTCAAGACTAACTTAATAACCTCACAAAATTTGACAGCTGTATCCCCACCGGTTTGGGCGCGCGCGCCGTTCAAACATCGAGCGTCCCTATCTGAACACCCTTTATTACTCTAATGCGCCGGCGTATCATATGAATTACTCCGAAATTTTGTTTGCTTGTGTCATACAGGTTGTAGAGAAAATCTTCAATATTTTTTCCATGCAAATTTTCGGCATAATTATGACCATAATTTTCGGAGTAATTCTCTTGTGTGTAAAACGGCTCTAATTGGTAAAAATGCTGCTGAAACTGTTTTAATGTTGAAAATAGCTTACAAAGATGATGCTATAAGAAAAACTCGGGAGTACGAGTGGTTTGCCCGATTTAAAAATGGCGACACGACGACTGATGACAACCCTCGCTCTGGACGTCCATCAACTGTCCGAATCGACGAAAATGTTGAAAAATTCTAGAGCTCGTGCTATTTGGAGGTTTTAAGAAGATTGCGACACGATCATGCACCTACGCACACAGCCAACTCTGTTCGACAGTTTTTGGCTAAAAATGGCATGGTTCCGCTGCCTCACGCACCTTATTCGACTGTCCTGCTCCGTGCGACTTTTTCTTATTTCCATGGACGCCGCTTTCACGACATTGAAGAGGTCAAGAAAAAACGAAGGAGGAGGTGTCAGGCATTTCTAAGGAAGACTTCAAAAAATATTTCTAGCAATGGAAGCACCGGTGGGACAAGTGTATTAGTTGTAGTGGACAGTATATTGAAGGAGATAAGGTTCCTTTGTGAAAATACACAGCTTTTAAAAAATTAGTGCGGTTTTTTTTTGGTACCAACTCGTATGTATTTCAAACGTTCGTCAACATTTTTCTTTTTATTATAGTACCTGATCATTCTGTAAAAAGCCAAAGTTCACAATTTTTGCATTTTCACCTATTTTCGAACATTTAACTTAGTATCGTTATAAGAGAGCATGGTAGAAACAGTTTCTACACCAAATCTATAATGAAACATTGCTGTTCCCAAGTTTGCAGTCACTAATTGTAGTGCCGTTTCCGTAGGAAATTTCTTTCAACATACTGCTTGTGTTTTAACTATAATTTTGTTTTCTTCTATGAATTCCAATATTTGGTCATTAACTATCAATTCAACCAATTTGTCAACACTTGGTAAATATTTACTGGGCTACAACTTGAAAATTTCTTGTTTGTTGATGCTCAAAGCAGCTGGGCCTAGTGTTAACAATATCAATGTGAAAACTTCATGGATGCAACCAACATAAAATCAGTTATTTTGAGAGCCAAAACCCCTGATCGTTTAAGCACAATCTTTTTATCCAAACTTACCTCCTACATTTCCAAATCCAGTAGTTTGCCCAGTTCCAAAAGCAGATGTGGTAGGCTTTCCAAATGAGCTTCCAAAAGGTGTAGCATTGGTTCCAAATGTATTAGACTGGCCAAAGCCAGGAGTGGTATTTGTGCTACCAAACAAAGACTTATTTTGGAATAGTGTGTTTGACTGTGTCGATGTGGCTGCTGGAAACGCAAAGCCTGTGTTTGTTTGTCCAAATCCAGTGGCTGTTTGAGCTGGTTTGCCAAAAAGACTACCAGCAGTATTCTGCAAAGGTCAAATTATTATTTGTTAGATTCAAGTACTTTATTCCACTTTACTCGTACCTGTGTATTTGTTTGTCCAAAAAGACCAGTACCAAATCCAGTGGATTGAGTAGTTGTGGTGTTAGAACCAAAAAGTGGTTGTGTGGTGCTACCAAAAGGCTTGGCCTGGGCAGTTGCACCAAATGGATTGGCACTTGTAGTAGTATTGCCAAATCCTCCAAATGTTGATGTTGTACTAGTTGGGGCACCAAAAGCTGTAAAAAATGATAATAATAATAATAATAATCATCTTTATTCGTTGGTACCAAGGTACAGAGATATGGAAGTGATACTTGGAAAAGGCGAAGTTCAGCTTTCATTCATAGAGGAATGGCTGGTCTTCCACTTAACCTAACAAAACCTACTTAACTAACTTAACAGTAAAGATATACGAGTAGTATATGTTACCGTAGTTATATTAGCAAACCAAATTAATATTTAAAGGGTGTTCCATTAGGTACTTTCCATTCTTAAATAAGAATCACAAGTTTGCAATGATATCATACTTGGTTATATCATCAGAATATAAAAGTATAAGAGTTATCTTTTATAAATAACTAGACTGAACATCATAGGTAATTTGTTTTGATAATAGTGTGAAGGAGATTAGTTTCAGAGAAAGAAATGCAATATTCAATGTAATGCAATAGTTACTTTTGCAATGAACATATTTTATCCAACATTCTAATGCAACAATAAATTAATTTCAATGTTTTGCTTTTTGTATCCTCGACAAAAAGTAATGGATTTATTTGATAATTAATCTTCTTAAAATGATGTTGAAGGCCATGGTCAGATCCATTGGCTTGGATTTGATTAAATATTGTCCCCAATATGCATTTCAGAAATTAAAAACATGTTTTCCGTTAAACATTTTGATCTTTAAATGATTCTGATGGTCATAGTGAAGGTCATGGACATACTTGGTCATGAAGTTTCTTGCTCTTTTTATATCCCTACTTTTTGGACATCCTCAAATATCCATGAAGGTCATGGTCAAGGTCATGGCAAAGACGTACTTTAACGTAAAAGTCCTGGTCTTTACATTTCTGGTGTCAAACATAGGGGTTTCATTCAAGAAAACTAATTTTTTACACCACTGATGAGACTGAATATCAGGAAAACATGATCAATGTTTAAATAACAATATGGCAAGTTAAGATTAGCCTTCTAATAAACTACATACAATTCTCAATGTCAAACTGCATTAACCTCAGCATATTTTCAAGGTAGAATGTATTGGTGTTTTTCATACCAATTTTACCTCAAATATTCAAGCATGTTTCTCCAAAAGGAGTAGTTTGAAAAATATTTATCAAAAACTGTAATATTGAATATCTTATTTAAAAATGCAATTGACATTCCAAAAAAGTCAGTGGCAGAGAAATTATTTTTTTATCTTTTATGTGAGTCGAAGCTTCCCAGTTTCTATGCCACTGGTAAAATCTAGGGCACCAAGATTTACTACAAGTACAAAATTTGAAGTCCATATCTTAATTCACTCCAAAAATATATTTTTTTATTTCAAAATTATGATTTATCTACACCCTCAAATATTAAAACATTTTTTGTCCAAAAGGTAGTTTGACAAAAAAATCTCAAAAGTCATTTATGTAAAATTGAATTCCTTATTCAAACATTCAATAGACATTCCAAAAAATTCAGTGGCATAGAAAACAATTTTCCATTTTCTTCTGTGCTGGTCAAAAAATCTCAATTCCTACACCACTGGTAAAATCTAGGGCACACATTTTTTATATGGTGCCAGTTACTACTTATACAAAATTTTAAGTGAATATCTTAATTCACTCAAAAAATACATTTTTTTTTTTATTTCAAAATCATGATTTATCAACAGCCTATATCTCAGTAAGGGGACATATTAGCCACATTTATATGATATTTCTGTTTTATTTTTTTGATCTAGTAAAGTAGATGTTCAATTCCTAATAAAACAGATATCCTAAACTTACCAGTTGGTTTGTTGAACAATCCACCAGATTGCTGTTGGGTTCCTAGTCCAAAGCTAGTATTCTGTCCAAAGGTTGACGTAGTTTGGCCAAAACCAGTAGACTGACCAAATGCAGACTTTTGAGCATCTGTTTGCCCAAACAATGAAGGTGCAGTAGATGCTGGTGCACCAAATGGAGTACTGCCAAATCCTGATTGCTGTTGCGGGCCTTCAAATAAAAATTATAACACATTCAAAATCCAACATTATACATCCAATGTATATCGGTTTTTGTTATTTTGTTTACCTTTTCTGTTAGCAGCATAATCTTCCAAACGCAGCTCCTCAAAACTTTTATTTTCATACTCCTTCATACATGTTATACTGTGGTGTTTTGTATTTATACTTTGTGCAACACCATTTTTCATCATAGTATCTGTTCCTGTTACTGGATTGAATTTGATGACAGTACCAACTTGCTGCTGTTGTTGACCACCAAAGGCTGAGGTACCACCAAACAGGTTGCTAGATGTAGACTGGAACAACCCTAAGAACAGTAACGATATTTACTCATCACTCATAACTTTATACAAAGTAATCTGTTTTGTGAATGTCCTCTTTAATAGGTCAGTATAATTTTTAAATAGGAGAAAGACTTTTCAAATAAGTTTCTAATACCCATTTTTACATCAACAATTTCTTCACAAATTTATTCAGATATATGTAAGCGGAAAATCTAGAACACCCCGAAGTACCGATGGCTCAGCATTTTAGTATCCGTCGCTGGCCGTCTAGTGATTGTTAGAACGTCTTTGGGTGACTGGGAACGTCGAGGTTGCGGGCTGTACAGCCGAACGCAGCCGAGTAGCCGAAGACAGTCGATCCGGAGAAGACCGACGTGGCAGGTGGGGACGGCGGAAGGAGTCTGGCGCGACGGTCGTGGAGAGCGTGATCTATGGCATGAGCTGTAACTTAAACAAACGGAATAATAGACGTTTAAAACAATCGCGTCGCTGTATTATTTGGGGTGTTCGCCCTATAGACCCATCTAAAGTTTACATATATTTCTTCAAGATCATCCTGATTATGTTTTGCAGTATTTTCAATTAATGGACAAATTCATAGATTATCCATCAGTTACTCAGTGCTGCCAACCATGCAACAAATTCTTTCTAGAAAAATTTTGATTTTGAGCTTTGCTATCTCTTATGGTCTTTATTGCGAGCTGAATTTCATAAACAGAAACTATGTTGTTCAATACTGTAGTTCAATCAAAGTTCCATACTTGAATTGTTCAATACAGGGTGTTTGGTGCATCTTTTGCCAAATTGAAATGGCAGATAGAAGAGGTATTTTTCCCCCAGATCCCTCAACCAGTTTTTAGCCCAACGAAATTAATTATGTACATTTTTTAATTTTGTTTAGTAAAAACTCCAAAATGTAATACACAAAGTGGAATAAAAAAAAATAAAGAGTATGTCCACCTAATGATTAATTTATCTTAATGGGTAATGTTGTATCAATCTTACAAAGTCAACAATACTTGCCAGCAGCATGTAGTTTTTTATTTATAAACACACACAAGCTTCCCAGACCTAACTCCATTGGATTTTTACATCTGGGGACGTGCAAAAGCACTCGTCTACGTGACAGAAGTTGGAACAAGGAAGGAGTTGATCCAAAGAATAGAAGAGGCGTTTGGTACGATTCGGCAAGAAATTCGCCTACGTACGTACGACAACCGTCGAGATAACACAAAGGTGTCGTGCGTGCATACGCAATAGAGGACAAAAATTTGTGAAACAGAAAGAATAATAAATGATTGAAATTTGATTTTACACGTTTTTTTATTTTCCTTCCCCTGTACACAAAATTTGCAAATTCAATAAGTTAGTTAAACTTTTTTGTGACTTGTGGCATACCGTTAGAATCGGGATATACTAGGACAGTTTTTTAAAGAATTCTAATACAGAAATTCAAAATTGAGACTTCCATTTTTTCGTTCTTCTTTGTAACCTTTTGTGAGTTTATAAATAAAAAACTACATGCTGCTGGCAAATAATGTTGATTTTGTAAGATTGGAACAACATCACCCATTAAGATAAATTAATCATTAGATGGACATATTCTTTATTTTTTTTTTTATTTCACTTTGTGTATTACATTATGTAGTTACATACTAAAAAAATGAAAAAATCTACATAATTAATGCTGTTGGGCTAAAAACTGTTTGAGAACAAGTTCTAATTTCATGAAGAAAACTATGAAGAACATTGATTTTTTTTTGACATCAAATTCCTGTTTTACACTTTTCAAATTTGGTCATAAAGAAATCCGTGGATTTATTGACAATATAACACAGGTATACCAAGAGCTATTCAATCAAGGTAAAGCTCACCAGTTGAAGCTTGTTGCTGTGGTTGCTGTCCAAATAAGCTTGGTTGGGCTGTTTGAGCTCCAAACCCAAAACCAGGTTTATTTTGTTGTCCAAATGCGGAAGATGTGTTGAACATACCAGACTGTTGTGCCTGTTGACCAAAAAGGCCTGTACTCCCTGCAATAAAAAAGATGCTATTTATTCCTCCCTGTATAAGGTTTTGTTCTACTGATGTAGAGAAAGGAATCTATCAAAAATTCTGAATCTTGGAACCTATTTTTTAGGAAAGACTTTAGAGTAACATCTGGCTAAACTAGACTAAGCTTAACCATAACTTAATGCTAAAAAAGGTCTTATCTGTTTACCCTCATGGAACTATAAATGATTGAGAAGATTTAATGAGGTTTTAAGTTACAGTTAAATCTCAAGCTAAGCATAATTCCAACAAAAACAAGCTCAACAGGTTACTTGGAATTATGATAAAACACTCATAAAACTGGATTAAACTGGTGAATTACCAAATCCACTCTGGCTTGTCGGGGCAGTTCCAAAAGTGGTGTTTGCATTTTGGAATAAGTTGGTCTGTTGAGGCTGAGTTGCAGGAAACAAAGATGTATTGGACGGTTGTAGACTGAAAGTTGACGTCGAGGGGCCACCAAATCCACCCGTAGCTGGCTTCCCAAACAGGGTTTGGTTCTGTCCAAAGGGATTAGCATTTGTAGCAGCAGAACCGAATCCTTAAAAAATATTGCAGTTAGATCTAGAAATATTTCTCAACATTATGGACTTACCAAAGGAGGTGTTCGCACTAGGAGATCCAAATGTTGATTTCCCAAACATTGTTTTTATGGAAAAACGACCACTAATTTCTTAAAGCTAAACTATCTTAAAACCACCACCATTTATATTCGGTTAAAAATGCATTACACTGAAGTACTTGGAAAGTACACCTATTTTTAACAACAATAAACACTATTTTTCGAAATTATAAACATCAAATTGTTGGAAACAGTTGCCTCAAAGGCGAAAATCACAATATCTCCCAAAATCAAATTGACACTTGAAAAATCCAGATAGGTAAAACAGGGTAAAACGAAAACGCAAAAAGCGAAAAAGCCAATAATGACAGGGATGACGAATGATGATTTTGACAGAATGTCAATGTTAATTCAATTAGATCGCTCCCACACGATGTGGCGAATGCCTTACAACGTTGGACACATGGCCATTCGCCACATCGTGTGGAAGAGCGCTGACGGATTGCATGTGTCCAACGTTCGCCACATGGCACGTTCGGGCTCTTGTCGGTAAATCTGACCCACGTCAAAGGACCTTACAACGTTGGAAGCATGGTTCGTTACGCTCCCAGACGAGATGTCAGTGTTTGATGGTTTTAGGTTAGAACCAGTAGTGGCGACAAACATTATTTGTTTGTTGTGACTGTGGTGAAGTAGTGGTATGTGGGAAGTATTTTGATGAATACCTACCTATTAATAATAATGTATGTTCCGTAACTAACTTTTGAGAAGAATGAATTAAATTAGTATACATACAAAACATAGGCTGTCATAACAGCACTTTTTTCATATTGCTAATACTTTGTACGTTTCGTAGGTGAGTTATGGCTGGCCTAAGGATATATTATCAAGTGCTTATAATTGTTTCGTTATAATGTGCTGTTGCAATGCAAGACTAATTGAGAAATATATTGACTTCCATTTCATAACTAACGAAAAAGATTAAATAAATGATAACTCTGAAAGTACTATCAGGATTTTGATGAAATGTTGACCCTAGGATACTACTAAGAAAATGACGGAAAAGCTCTGCAATTTTTGAAAATCGGTACAGTGGCGCTGGAGCTATCGTCGAAAAACAAACAAAAAACGGTCAAACTTCGTTTTTCGACATTTTGGAGGCTTCTGACACACTTATGTCTTGATCGCTGAGGACAGATCTGAAATTATTTTTCGGCATCCGAAAAGATTGTTTCCTCGTTTATTTTGTATAATTTTTAGGTTAAAGGTTAAAGGTTCAAGCGCGACACTGACACCAATAATAGACGTAGGCATCACCATGCGTCGAACGTCCGAGACTAAAAAGTTCATCCCATCGTGTATGAGACACACTTGCCAATTGTGGGGTGTCGAACGTTGTAAACAACGCTGTACACAACGTTGTAGACAACGTTGGAGGTATCATGTGGGACCCGCATTACGTAAAAGCTACTACTACCGACGCCGCGTACAACATGGAAAATAAGTGGCAAGAGTGGAACGATTAACCACCCTTATTTGTTCTATGGACAATTTCTAGGGTTCCGACTTGATCACAAGTCTATGTTGAAAAAAAAAGATATACAATTAATGTAGTGGAATTGTTAAATATAATCGTGTTAGCATTACAGTTAAAATGTAGGACGATGGGAGAAATAAATTTTGGCCTGAAGTTGAAAATCGGTCAAAGCAATATACAAAATGATGTAAAATGTATAATGAGAATCATCTTTTGAACGCTTTAGTAACTTTTTCTCCGGTCTCTTCTACTTTATCCTTAACTTGGTCTACTTCCATTTTCAGTCTTTTGTCAGCATTTTGAAAATCTACCACGAACGCGTCCATTGGGATTACTGGATGTACTAGGACATCAAGAGAATCTTCGAAATCAATTACTTTCTCTACCTTTTCTTTCACTTGACTGACAATTTCTTTCATCGACGCATCAGCTTTAGCAAACTCATCTTTGGTTTTTCTGTTGAATTCTTTGACGCTTGGTCCTGCATTGTCTTCGTTTGTTTGAGGTTCTATAGATGCATAATCCTAAAAATAGGTGCTACTGCAAGAGACAGAAATACAAGATCTTTCCGTTATACATCAGGGTGTCCCAAAATGCAAAATATGGGTTCATTAATGGGCGAACCTATGATATTAGATACTAAATATTTTTACACATGCATACAGAAATATTAGAATAACACAATAATCAAATCCAAGCGAATAACCAAAATTTCTGTGTTATGTACCACGGTTATAATATGGTTCAAGATGACACACGGGTTGATGACGTCAGTTACACGAATCGCTTGAACGCGTTGGTTTTAACCGCGGTTTTGTTGCAAGTTGTTTATTTTAGAAAAGCGCGTATATAATCTCTGATTATTTTTATTATCACTTAATAATCGGTGCTTTTTCGTCTACAACTGTATATGGAAAGTTTAAATAAGAAACCTTTCATAATATTCATGGGAGAAATGTTTTTTTCAGATTTTTTTTTTAATGGTGGTACCATGGCTTTGTAGCTATGATAACTTTCAATTCTCTAAATTTTTCCGCATGTCAAAGAAAACATTTATTGATTCAGCAGAAATGATGAAAAGATAAATTAGCAAAACAGGTGGATATCATCTAGTGAGTTTATATGGCCATATTTTAATATCCTTGTGGTGTATGGCTACACAGGATACTTTGTTAAGCATAGGAACTACATTTAAAGTGTCCCCAACAACTGTAATGAGTATAACTAATAAGGTGCTCCACTTTTTGGTAAAACTGAAGTCAGCCTGTATCATTTTTCCCAATAATGAAGCTGAAGTACAATAACAATATCCAATACCCGGTAAAATTCTAACTTGTCACATTTCAAATAATAACCAGAAATATAAAACTACTCTTGAGTTGGGTAAATACCACAATTTTGCGGTGATAACTATGACATATAACAGCTGATTCGTGACGTCACGGATCTTATAACCAAACTGATAACTACACTCGCTTGAACGGATTGGTAAATACCAACCCAAAATGGTAAATACCATTTCCATTTGGTTATCCGCTTGAATTTGATTAATGTAAGATTTGTGACCTCTATAAACCATTGCAGCTGTATATACAGGGTGTCCGCAAAGTTGGGTTTTTTTTCAGACACAACTACGCTTGATATAACAAAGCTGATGTGTGGTGACTGTGAGCAAACAAGTAAAAAAGAAATAATGAAAAGTACTCATTGTTCAGTTGAATTGAAATTCCAAGTACGGCTCTGTCGTAAAATCCGTACTTACATCGTAGTCGTACGTCATATAACTGGCGCTGTGGACGTGATCGAGGGATAGGACAGGACCGGCTTCGGTTTGGTTCAGGTTTTATTGAGTTTGCGGAGCCCAATATATCGGTTCTCTTAAGACATTGATGTATATTCTGCTAAGAAAATCCGCTTATTTCGTGTAAAGGAAAACCCCAACTTTGCGGACACCCTGTATAGAAGATGCCACTTCAGATTTTGTATAAAATTCACGTATTAAGAGAGATCAATTTTAGACTGTTTGATAGAGAGCAGGGGCGGATTATATTTCTGTCTGTATAAATATGAGGGTTTTTTACTTAGTTTAGTTTTCTGTGCAACTGAATAGAATAGGTATTTGAATAGATCTTTAACATTTGAAGCACTGATATACATGAAAAACCAAATTTTCCTGACGGAAACAACAATCTGTACGTGAGAGAAGCGCGAGAAGTGTATATCAACACGTGTTAGAAACAGATAGAAGCCCGCTGAAGAGCGAAGGTCATCGCCTCATCGCCTAGCAACGCTGACGCGGCAGTCTGCCGCGTTGCTAATATGTTACTCCATTTTTTTTAATTAGGATACATGTTGAAAATATGCGTTAGTTTAAATGACTCTAATACTGCGTGCCCTATTGCGACTCAAGTTATTACCTTTAATGTTTGTTTGATAGCAGCAGCTGTACTAGAAGCCTTGATATTGGTGGCCTGGAAATCCGTGCAAGCTTTGATAGAGAAATCCCGAATAGGAAATATCTGCCGTTCAACAGAATGAGACTCTGTAAAAGGTGTCTGTAACTGTTCTTTAGTGTGAATTGCAACTTTGTCAATCGCATCTTTCGTGGACACCAAATCACGTCGAATTTTCTCCTGGAAGTCCATAAGAGCTTGTTTGACGTAATCTTCAGATTCGATCTCTTCTTTTGTTTTTCGGCCTGTAGGATTTGTTGCGAAAACTTGCAGTTGGTCGCTGATGTTCATCTTGGCTTTGTCAATTTGTTTCTGGGACTGCTGTTGACTCTGTTGCAAGTCTTTTAGTGCTTTGGCTGTGAAGGCTACTACCATCTCTTCTATCATTGCATCGGTCTCATTCGATTCGATTGGGGCATTTGTCATGATGGTTGTCCTTAAGTATTCTTCAAACTTCCTCTTAACTTCATTTATCTTTAACAAATATTTTGTTGAATTTTGATAGTGGAATGGTGGGTGAAGCCTTGGCGGGTAGTCGGCATAAACCCATAAACCACCCTGACTCTTCAATATTGGGTCGCCGATACCCCCCTCTCAAGCACTTCAATTTTCAATCACCGATAACAACACCCCTTCCTCCAGATGGGCATCATTCTGAACATGAATCGTGACCCCCAAGATTATTTTGAGGGGATAATCTCCATATGGACCCCTTCCAACAATATTTTATACATTCGCCCCTGAGCGGATAAGTATCTGCACCAATGAGCGGAACATAGGGATTAACCCTTGTAATTATAGAAAATAATGCAACCTGATTCTCCGCTTCTTTTTGTTGCTGAAGAAACTCTTCCGCAGCTTCTCCCTGAATCTTTTTAACAATCGGATGCCCAGCAACTTCACGCTTAGCCTCTTTGACCATGTAATCATCAAACAGAGCCACAACTCGCCAATCTAGCGACGCTTTTTGCTGAATGGGGTCATATGTGTCAGGAAATCGTAGAGCCAGGTCACTTTTCGGCAATGACGTGCTAGACTCATCTTCAGACATGATCTCACTGCTGTCTTCCTGCGGGTTGTAGATGTACTCCTGGAAGAGTTTGGTAAGCTTCTTCTTAGCACGCTCGACCATGCTGACTTGACGAGCGTTTATTCTGCTGAAGTCCTCAGCTACTATTCCAGAAATTTCTGGAAGCAGAGTTTGAATAGTATTTACCCAAATGCCTGAACGACGGACACAAGAACACAGGTCAGAAGGCCCCGCGTAGAGGAAGATGAGATGTAAGTTTTCAGTTGTCTTGTAGCTATACATAACTGTCTGTGGTATATGTAGCATGTGCAGATGCCCGCGCCGTAAGCCGGAACAACGAACAATCTAATGGAGTTTGAAAATGCATCGAACTTGTATCACGTCTCAAATGCAACGATCCATCCCACTAAGAATGGTTATACACTACTCAAAAAATTAAGCAAGAAAGAATCCAAATTTTTCTGTTATTTTTGACAGGCTGTATTTTGTTGGAAAATGGTTGTATCTAGACTTTAAAAAAGATTAAAGCTTTAAGATTCTAGTTTTTAGAAAAAAATTAGGAGCAACGGTTCTCACACGGTTTCTGCAGACCGCACGGGTATCACGTATCTTGAAAGGTGACATTATGCCGATTTTTTTTACATTAAGCTGGTTTTTTAGACATTATGTAGGTTTTTCCACAAGATGTTAGCTTAGCACTTAGTTGTACGTGTTGCATAAGCGTCATGAGGCTTGTTATCAATCTTTGGCTCTGATGTGATGTAAAATCTGCTTCTGAGATGACATTACTGGAGGTCTAAGCTGTAAGTTGTATGTGTTGATGATAATTACATTGGATTTTTGTGTCAAATACTCTTAATTGAGATTCAAAGCTAGAAATTAGTTGCGCATCCACTTTTTCTCATCAATTCTGGAAATTTCATTTACAAATTTGCTGAATTTAAAAATGAGAGAGATAAGAAATAATTATATTCACTGCACACTGTCGAATTACAAGCCATATACATGCTAACAGTAATTACATACAACGCGGGCGCGGTGATGATTTCCCGTAATTGTCCTCAGTTTTTCGTAATTTATAACTTAGAACATAACCTCTCTTCAGAAAGCACAACATAAAAATAACCCGTCGGGCACAGACAATAGATATACTTCATTGGCAGCATATTCAGTAATGACTTTCGCTCACAGCAAATACCACTGATTTTATACACATGCAGACCAATACACATAATCATCCAGATGCGATCTTTCTATTCGACCAACTTTCTTCTCAGAGATGAAAACTACAGACTACTCGGCTCGAAAAAACATATGCAACCAACAATGCGTGTAGTAGAGTCATTCCTCCATAGATGGACGCTCAGAACGATCCTAGTGAGCAAACGTGGGATGACTATTTGCGCCCTAGTTTGCAAGATGACATCTTAAAGGTTTTTTTACGTTTTATAGGTTTTTTACATGATACCCGTGACCCACCTATAAAATGTCATCTTGCAGACTAGGTAGTCATTCCACTTTTGCTCATCGTTGTGAGCGTCCATCTATGGGGAAATGACTCAACCTCACACCTTGTTGGTGGCATATGTTTTGTGAAGCCGAGTAGTCTGTAGTTTTCATCTCTGAGAAGAAAGTTGGTCGCATCTTGATGATTATGTGTATTGGTCTGCATGTGTATAAACAAACTGATATTTGCTGTGTGAGAAAATCATTACTGAATATGCTGACAATGCAGTACTCGTATATCTATTAGTTGTGCCCAGATGCGATCTTGCTATTCAACCAACTTTCTTTTCAGAGATAAAAACTACAGACTAGGACCACTCGGCCTCATGAAACACATGCAACCAATAATGCGTGTAGTTTAGTTGAGTGATTCCTCCATAGATGGACATTCACAACGATCCTAGTGAGCAAATATGGAACGAATGTTGGCGCCCTAAAAACTACCTAGTTTGCAAGATGACATCTTATAGGTTTTTTGACGTTTTATAGGTTTTTTACATGACACCAGTGCCGATCGGTCCAAGTTTAAGAATGATGCAAATTGAGTGTCAGATCGTACTCATTTCGGTCAGACGGAGCACTGAATATTTTTAAGATCCGCCACTAGTCAGTATTTTTGTTTTTGGCAGCCCTAGAAAGAAAAACTAAGGAAAATCAATAATACAGTACGTTTTTACTACAAAACTTAATCACAACTTCCTCATGCCCTCGTTTAAGTATACATACAATTTTATTCAGATTAAATCATTTCTACTGGGTGTTCTACTTTTTTGTAACTGAGTATATTTGTGTATAAAAATGACAAAAGACACATAGGAAAGATAATTTATTTTTAGAAATGTCAAACACTAGTATTTTCTCCAAATTTTGGATAATGATTTCCGCAGGTGGGTGGGTACTCCACATTAACATCGTTGTATTTGTAAGATTTACGTAAGACTTGGAGAAATTCAAAAATGACATACAAACCTGGAAATGCTTTGTACGTTGATGGATCTGTTTGATCACATTTGTGTGATGATTCTGTAATCAGGAATGACGCGCTTGAGTAGAACGTTGTTCTTTTCGCCATAACACTCTTTAGTGGCTCAAAAGGTTCTAAAAAATAAAAACAGATTTGCAACAATTTGATGTTTACCCAAAATTAACTTTTCTTTCCATATGCTTGGATGAATGCTTGGAGCCATGGCGTTCCACGGGAAGTAGCATTGCGAGAACATGTCCTTAACACATCGACTGCATTATCACTGGTGATTGACACTGAACTATTTCAATGCCCTAGTAGCACCGGAAAAACATTTTAGGTTTATTTGAGGTTTAAAACGGTTTTATTGTGGATATACTGCTAGAACTTAAGAACTATTTAGCACTTAATACTGGGTTGAGAGAATCTAATACGATAATCAAATAAGATGAATCAATCCGGAAAGTTTATTTTCCTTAATGTACGAGCCCCTTCTCACTTCAGTTGGCCCACTTCAAGATTTGTAGCAAAATATGCCTTTATAAACTAAACATGACGAAACTATTTACTTCTAAAACAATTTATTTTCTCAAAAACAGTTTAGATACACTCTAGTCGTAAAAAATACATATTTGAAATCACTTAGACCTATAACTAGTAGAACATCTGAACAAATAAACAATGTGCGAATAAATGCGCGAAGTTAACAAAGCAACAATTGGAAGATTACCATTGGGTAACATCACCTTTATTTTTTATTACGTATGAAATTCTTTGGGGCATAGTGTTAACAAAGTTTTGGCAAAAATTTGGTGTAAAACAATCCCATGTTTCTTGAAGCTTTTGTCGTAGTTCGGTGATTGTTCGAGCAGGATGTTGTCGTAGAACCGTTTTCATCTCGTGCCACAAAGTTTCAATAGGTGACAGATCTGGACTGCTAGAAACCCATTTCAAAAGTGCTACATTATTTTCTTCCATCCATTTTATAGCCTTTTTTGAGGTATGGCACGCTGCACCATCTTGCTGAAACACAAAATCTTGACGGATGTCAAACATTCTTCAATCACTGGTAAAAGCGATTCTTCTAAAATTGCCAAATATTTGTTTGTATCCACATTTCCATCAATAAAATGAAGTTTTCCCACTTCTTTTGATGACATACTGCCCCAGACCATAATGGATGCTGAAAATTTCACTTTTCTCTTCAGACAGTCAACATGGAATGCTTCATTTTTTTTGCGAATAACTCTACTGCGACTGTCTCCGACACAAACTTCGAATCGGGCCTCATCACTCCATTCTATTGCACACCATTGTTGAGGTGTCCATTGTCTATGTTCTTTAGCCCATCTAAGCCGATTTTTCTTTTGCAGTGGAGTTAATAGTAGCTTTTCTTTGGCCTATAAATAAGTTGTGCAACTTTAGGGTTTTTACTTCACTTTTTTTTATAAGAAAACTTACCTTGCAAGTGCTAAATCCCAGTTTGTGGGCCTTTCTATGAGTTGTGAACCTCGAAATTCTCCTTCCAACAGCGTCACTTCACAGAGCACTTAATTGTAAATAATTGGCACGCCTGATTTTCACGATTATTCTTCTTAATGCTCTTCGGTCGGCATGGCTTAATATTAACTGATCCAGTTACGTTATATCTTCTAACAATATTTCTCACACTGTACCGCGATAAGTCTAACAAAGTTGCAGTTTCTGAGTTTGATTTCCCAGAATTAAAAAATTTAATTATCAGTAACCGAATTTTCTCACTAATAATCTTTCCTCTACCCATTTTGAAAACCTTAACTACCCAAAACTATTTTAAACATATTCTGACAGCTGTGATTAATAAAAACAATTGTCATGGCTTTTATTTTTCACAGCCACCTCTGCGTTATAGACTTATTTTGCACTGAAATGAAAATGTGTTATTTTTATGCTGCAAATTTGATTAGGGAGTGTTTTCTACTATATATTATCAAAATATTCATTGTTAATATTTTGAACCTGTAACACCCTGCTACATTTTTATTATTTGTGTTTGATAAGCAAAAAAACTAAGATTTCAATAGTGGGACCAACTGAAGTGAGAAGGGGTTCGTAGTCTTAAAATGGTTCTCAACTAACTTCAAAACTATTCAGATTTATGAAGAACTTCCGGTCTTCTTTCATGACCAAAATGTTCACAAAGCATCTTGTTTAAAGTGTAACATTGACGTAGTGTATTGTACATTCAACGTTTAAAATTGTAGATAAAATTACCTTTCTTACAAATTTATTTTTTTCACGTTTTTTTTTTTATTTTTGAAGCCCCTGAGTTTTCGAGTTCTTTTTTGTTAACATTTATTGATAAAGTCGGACGCGCAGTATCTATTTTTTACCTTCACAGTCCAAAAAAAAAACATTATTTTATAGAGATACGTACCTGTTATGTAATTCATATAAACATTGGTTAGCCTCTATTATCTTAAAGCTGCTTTTATGTTATAAGAAATGAGTATATAGTTTTAAAGAGCCAGTTTAATTTAACTTTTATCTTAACTTTGAGATAAATTAACTTTAAAGGTATACATTTAATGAATACTTCATCATCAAGTTTGCTTTAAAACTGCATGTGTTTAAAAGGTATTTAAACTGGTTTTAAAAGTACCTCCACAAGTTTATTACAGACTTTAGGTTTATTGAATAACCAACTGGTTTCAATTGAAGTTTTATTTCACAGTTTTAACGTACCCTTCAAATATTTAATAAACCCGTTCGATGCTACTTAGGTGGTTAAAGTAACTCCTGAAACTTATCCCGCGGTTTCCATGTTCATAGGACTTGATCGTCTGGCAGAATCAAACCACATATGTAGTATATGGTTTAATTCCTCTTCATTGTATCACGTTTTAGCCACTACGGTGTACTTGGAAAAGGCCATAAATTAAAACGTATACAGGTATATGGTATGATTCGCAAAGACAATGGAGTCTTATTTCAATGGGGCCGTGTCAGTCATCAGCAGTGACACTACATGTTTTTTTAACTTGTTTTTAGTACTGTCAGAGATGAACTCTGTGCTAGTTACTAAGGAACTTTTTTGGTCAGAATGAGGCGAAAAAAACAAAGTTTTTATAGTTTGCTTAAAAACTTGTTCAAACAAATTTGTACCGGGATACGGTTCGCCAACCTCTGGATGCACAAACTGAGCATTCTGCAAAAGTGGTTTTGGAAAAAATCTAGTTAGAAAATTTCTCCCACAACTGTACGGTTTTCGCCCCATCCAAGTAGAAAAATGGAAGAGTACAATGTACAGTAGCCTACATTGAGTTACAGGTACTACTTCTAACTCTTACTGATATCCTCTGGATCCAAGAACATAGATTGTTCTTGACGTTGAGTGGATCTGAAATCTCGATCGGATATTATGCTAGTCAGCATGATTATTTCTTCTCTTTCTAGATCGGGGTTTTCCATGGTTGAGACCGCTGCAGAATTTCGGGTATCTTGTTTTTTCCTGATTTCTAAGCTACTGTTTTCGTTCATCAAGTTTTCGGGATCGACTGCAAAGTCGGGATCATGATCGGACATAATGTGAACGTAATGGAATGAAAATTTTGACTTCGATGGAGATGGTAAAAGCTGAAGTGGGTCATGGTTGTCTTTTTGACTTTCTTATTTTGACACATCCATTGTCATTTTTTTCTACTACGACCATATTTTACTATTGACCCGCGGAAGTCAAAACTTGCGCTTTTTGATGGGTCTAATGAATTTGGTCGATTTTTTGCAAATTGTTTCTCGAACTGTAGGAAAATTATACGATTTTTGTAAGATGGCCTCATATTTCTCATATTAAATCAAGAAATACTCCATATCACATGATTCAGCTGAAAAAAACTATTTTTCTTTTGTATCCGGACAAAAATTGGCGGAAATCCAACAATCAAAACGTATTTGCGTGTTGTCGCATATTCGACGAATCAGAACTAAGGATTTGTCGCCTACTCGAAACATGGATCGAGCCTGATACAATAGATTGGCATAACGATATTACTGAGCATTTTATTCAAAATAGCGGTGTCTCACTGTTGCTGTACTAAATTCTACTCAATAAATTCTTTGAAGTCATAAATAAAATTACAGAATGCATATTCTTCGAAAAACATCGACTGAATAGGCAATTACTTGACTACCGCACGAAAAACTATGTTCCTTAAGCCTGCCGTGTTGCTGTTAACAGGCAGATGTCGCGCACTCTACTGGACGGTGGGCCGACTACGCAACCACGTCGCGTCACGGTTACGGTGGCAAGGCTAGAAGTAGTAACCCCACTAACCAGTAGAGGGCGCGAGCTCCCTGTTAGCAGGGCTGGCTTACGGAACAGGGTTTTCCCACCGTAATAAAGTATATGTTCATTTAATTGCAGTCATATGGATCTAAATATTGTGTCCATGCTTCGAGTGTCGCGCAAACGCTTTCTTTTCATCATTGCATTTGACGATGGCCGCTAATTTAGTGTTTTTCTAGCTAAAACAAGTGATTTATGACGTATTTCTTAATTTAATATGGGCCTAAGGGGCCCATCTCACACAAATCGTAATATTATTCTCTACAAGAAATCAACCACATTCCTAAGATCACATCTTGAGCATCTTTTTGACTTTTGGCTCTTCTGCTATTCTACAATCAACAAATTCAGGTTTCTCATTAAATTACTATTTTCTTTTACGAAAACATGGTGCATGGTTTCCATACAGTCCTAGTGGTTCTGATAGACTGTGAAGGTTTCGGTGGATTACAGAAAACAGTTTAAGTTAAATAAAAGCACATTTTTTTATGGATAAGTTTTAATATGTCATAGTCGTCGGTGTACCTCTACAATGGGTTTTAGTTGCGAAGTAGTTTTGATTTATTTAATTCCCCAGTCTCTGACAGTTCAGTGTCAATCTAAGGCCTGCTGACAAAAATTTACTGAAAAGGGCCCACCGAAACTTTGTGTCTTATCTATTTCGAATCTAAAAGTTATTTGGTAAGGCGCTATAAAGAGCAATTTTACATTTTTTTTTCTCTCACTCTCCCTTGTCTTCAAGTTCCACAAGAGGGAGTTCAACACGACCTAAGAATCTATTAATATCAAATTAATGAAATCGCTTCAAAATGGATAAATATAAGTGACAATGATATACCAGTAGCTAAGTGACATATAAATCCGAACACCCAGTTTAAATGGTTTTATTTTAAGAAAACTTTGTATAAGTACTTAATGAAGCATAATAAGTAAATGATAAAAATTTCAAAATGATTGCACTGCTTTAAAGCCCTTTGACCTTTAATAATGTGTGGATGCACCCTGATGTGCTACGCATTCTCCAACGCGCCTAGGCATGCTTCTGATCAGGTGGTCAATGTCCTCCTGTGGTATCTCCAGGCAACCACCAACTCCTCTCGAAGTGCTTCTAGAGTCTGAGGAGGACGTTGCAAATTGAGCAATCTCCTACCCATCATATCCCACACGTGCTCAATTGGGGATAAGTCGGAAGATCTTGGTGGCCATGGTAACAATGTGACATCATTATGTTGAAAGAAGTCTATTGTGACTCTTGCAACATGTGGTCGGGCATGATCTTGTTGGAAATTTGGATCTGCCAGGGTGTCAAGATAGGGTAAAAGATGGGGTTCTAGAACTTCGTGGATATAACGCTGCGCGTTCATGTTACCTCTGATGAAGATTAAAGGTGACCTGGAACCATAAGCTATAGCACCCCAAACCATAACTCCAACAGTGTGATGAACATGTCTTTCAACAAAAAACTGTGGATTCTTCCTTTCACCACGTCGCCTTCTAACCCTGGCACGACCATCGTGCATGCCTAAACAAAATCGAAACTCGTCACTAAATACAATACTGTTCCATTCCTGCTCCCACAGTGACCGTTGTCTGCACCACTCAAGGCGGTAATGGAGAAACGGTCCCTTAAGGCCAATAATCTTAGGCGGCGATCTTCACGGTCTGTTGTTCTACGGCGGCATCCAGTGCCCCTTGCTCTTCGCGTACGGCCTTCTCGAAGCCATGCCTGACAACACCTAACCACAGTGTCTACACTTCTTTGCACTCTAACTGCAATTGTCCGAAAAGAAAGTCCAGCTTCCCGAAGTCCCACTATACGGCCCCTATCAAACTCACTAAGTTGCCGAAATCGTACAGGTCTCCGTACTCTAGGCATCGTAACCGATCGTAAAGGATGTCAAGAACCAAAATCCGCCAACGTTGATTCTTTACTGCGGCTGAAATATTCATCTTTAGAGCGTTAGTGAATTAAAAAAAAGCAGTATAAAAACCGGAATGTCCAACTGATAAGGCTGAACATTTTTTCACTTGTTATTTACAGTAAGATAAATACATTCACCAACTTTTATTAAAATAAAACCATTTAAACTTGGTGTTCGGATTTATATGTCACTTAGTATAGATGATATGAACCAAAAGCATGAATAATTTCAGGCAAATAGATAATAGATATTTGTAACAAAACCTCAAAATAGTACGCTGACACGGAATAGTAGAAAACTATGAAAATCAAGGAGGCCATAAAGGCGTCCTACAAATGTTACGATCCGTTCGACAGGACAAAAATATACGAAAAACTGACAGGCTTCTAGGGACCTGCATTTTTTATATTAATATTTATGGTATTTCTCAAAAACGGTTAGAGTTAGGCATTGGATGTTATACATGGAAGGAATTTTATGATAAAAATTGAAAAATATTCCATTCAAAATAAGCAACTTGGTATCTGCTTCCGGTGCATCCGGAAATGCCATCACTTTGAAAATATTGCCGAATTCCTCATATCGGTGTTCATAATTATCTTACGTCAACTTTTCGAGTAATCGATCGCTGCAGGTCTACGTGGGACACACTATGAGATATGAGAAATCTAGAAGTTATCCCTGTTTTAAGTGTACAGCGGCCTTCATGACAAGACGATGACGTAATTCTACAACCAGTTGTAAGCAGTCACCTCCGATACCATAAGTTGGACGAAGCAGACTCTTTTATATGGAGTGATTCAACCTGAATGCATGAACATCAAAAGCGCCACATGCTGGCTTGGAAGCAGACTTCAATTAGTAAACAGTACACAGAGTAGATCAAGAACGTTCGGCAATTGGATAAAGACGAACTTCCTGTAGTCTCTACGTCTCCACCTACATTTTCTCGCGTTTCGAAGGCGTCTTTTTAGTCTAGGGGACAATAGTCATATTTTTGCATTCATTGAGCGAATAGATTCTCATGTTATAGAGCAAGGAAAAAATCCAAATTTTTCGGTGATTTTGACAGGCTCTATTTCTGTGAAAAATGGTCGAATCTAGACTTAAAAAAAGCATTCTAAAGCTTTAAGGTTCTAGTTTTGAGGTTCATTAGCTGAAAAATTGTAGGAGCAACGGTTCTCAATTCTAACATATAGCGCATGAACAACTTTTTTTACAAAATTTTCGCCTTGTTTTTAAGTCATCATATGGGTCATATAGTCGGTTTATTCAGCTTCAATATCCTGTTTTAAAAACTCGGTATGATGATTTAGCGCGAAGATATCTGTCTTTGAATGAAAAAGAATCCTTTTCTCATCAACCACTGATAACTGGGTAACCAGTGATCACACAGAGAATGTAAGGATATTTCCGAAAACTGGAATAAAGATCCTATAAGATTTGATTGCAATCTTTAAGAAATTTTTATTGTTCCTTCAGAATTGATTTTAAAAATGTTACTTTTTGCATTGTTTGGAAAATCGACCGCATTTTTGGAACTGCTAGTGTTTTTAGGTTTTTTGTATCTCAATGTACCTATGTTTATACCAAAACATTCTGAAATCTGGTTGAACATGGAAAAATCATGTTTCTTATTTTGGTGAGAATATTGTATATCTGTTAAACCTTCAATTTTGGAAAAATATTATTTTCTTATTCATGGAATATTCCAAAAAACAGAAATACTAATGATTGAAAACCGTTGATCTTAAAATCGTTCACCTAAAAGAAAGTAAAAACTAGACATCTAAAGCTTCAAAATGATTTTCTAAAGTATATATTCGACAATTTTTCGCCTAAATGAAGCCTGTTAAAGATCACCCTAAAATTTGGATTTGTTACTTGCTCCCTTAATTTTTTGAGTAGTATATAGTATAACTTTTGCAAATTCGGCTATATTAAATTTCACGATAAATATTTGCTCTGCAGAAATCATTTCGACTGTTGGCTTTTGAAAGAAATTCATCCCAGCGTCGGAAGTCATCTACCCCTATTGTAACACCTGAAAAATTCAACTGTGGTTTCCATGTAGTTGGAACTCCTAAAATTCGCAAGATTTTAGCGTCGTGCAGCCTTCCAGGCTGCTGTCGCAACACACTGTACAGTAACGAAGAAAAGAAGAAACAAATCAACTCTCATCTGGAATTCAAATAAATACAGGTGTCATTTTCATCAATTGGAACTCTGAAAAGGAGGCCGTAGTAGCCTCGGTGTCACCTTTGGTAAAGGCATGACCTGGCAGAAACAAAATTTGTTATGTAGATCCTCCGAGCTGAGTTTGATAAACAAAGTTCGACTATATAAAATGATTATTAGACCAGTCATTA